AAACTAAGGGGTGTGAATCACAGCGTTTATCAGATCAAACGAAAACCATCAAGTTTCAGACAGAGACATAGGGAAGTTCGTTATACACAATTCTTTTCCCTTTGGTTCAATTACACGTTCTAACAACGTGCATCTGTCACTACTGTACATAAACCATCATAAAATACAAAATTAAGTAGATAAGATATAGACAGAAATTAGCATCTTGATGCAGAAAACCATTCATATTTACTTATCATAATTATAAAGATTCCAAGAATTTCATCTATGATAAACTATTCCAGCATACCAGTATATAGAACTAATTTCGTAGTAAACATTCAACAATGCAAAGCACATTACTTAGCAAGACTAACCATGGTTTTCAAATGATGATAATTTTCTCTGTCGTGTCCATATCATGCAAAGTATTCAGGTTTCACGACATAATATTGGGACTGATCAAACATGCTCAACAAAATAACATAAGACCAACCTATTACATTAAGGAATATTCCTCTAATTCTCATAAAGCTCTAAACCAGCAAAAACAAATAATTTCTTATACATAAACTAAGATGCTTATGAGTATGTGTATACTGCATACACAGTATATATATATCTGTATTTATAATGTACACAATTTTAAAACATACAGCAATTTCTATGGATGCACATTATAAAAGAAGTGAAATTAACATTTCACATACTCCGAGCACAATGTTAGCATAATTACTAAGTAATTGACATTTCCATATGCTACATAAAATCCTCACCAGATATATTGAGAAAGACAAACATGACAAAGTTACAGTACTATCAAATCCACGCAACAATTAAAGATACTGTAAAAGCCAGTAGAAGACACTTTCACATGAGCAGGACGTGGAGATTGCACACTACAGAACTCTATACTTTTAGGTCACATTTAATATAAAATTATGATTAACTATACGCCTTAAAAATGGTACATACAACTTCTGCTATCTATCTATTTGTTACTAATGCATTTCCCGTTACCAATATTTGAATCCGAACAGCACATGTCAAAGTTTGCCCTGACCCGATGCTTAGGACTCACTGTTTACGCTCTTAAGCACTGAAAGTCTGGCAGCTCAATGTATTCAAATAAAATAGAAGAATTCTGCATGGTAAGAGGAATAATAATTACAAGTAGCCTATATCTTGACCTCGCATACTGTATTTGTCAATTATCAGTTAAGAGATAGAAGTACAGTAATAGTATACTATGCTACATATATATATATATATACAGTACATATATAGTACATATTATATATATATATATATATATATATATATATATATATATATATATATATATATATATATATATATATATATATATATATATAGTGTGTAATATATATATAATATATATATATATATATATATTATATTATTTATTATATTTTATCCAAGAACATAGGGTAACACTAATGATAGGTCATGCAGTTTATCTTTTTAAAAAAAAAAAAAAAAAAAAAAAAAAAAAAAAAAAAAAAAAGTCCCACTATAATTTTCAGTGTGTGTTTTAGGAACACATTGTACTAAATCAAATAACATTAGTTTTTCTTTCATTTACTGGTACATTAAACATTTTCATTCAGAAATAAAACTTCCACTCTCTTCAGTCATTCTGTAAATTTATAATCAAGGGCTGTTTAGGCATACTACAAAGCCATTTAAGCATACATTGAAATTTAACTGCAAATATTTATATAATACCCATTTTTGTTATACAAGTATATATGTTAATCTAATGTTTCAACTTTTAATACATTTACTTTGTTTTGTTTGTATTCTCTCAATACAATCAATTTAAATATGACCGCATTTGCATCTACTCGTATTTATCCAATAAATGTAAATGTCATTAATAATGCAGACCTCGGTAAATTATTGAAATTTTATACAGAGTACTGTACATTAGTATCCTAAAATATTCAAATAATGTAGAACAAAGGGGGGATTTATTTTTAAGTCGTCATTCAAAAATTAATAATAAAAAAAAAAAATGGTAAACATCAGTTCCATTTCTAATGTTTGCTGCAAGATGGTCATTTTTGAAGGCTGTTTATCAAGCCCATATTGACAACATATCCAGTTACAAGTATATCGAAGCACTTCCTTGCCCACCCTTTCATCCCTGGTAACCAAACCTTTTTTAAACACTGGTCTTCCAGTTGTGCACCATCTCCATTTCGGATATTTTGATAAAGTGAAAGAGCTGAAGTTACAATGAAAAAAGTAACTCGGCGGTTGATGATGACGATGATGATGATTAAAGAGCAGTATTTACATAATCATGCATTACTACAAAAACATTAAACATTAAAATTTTATAATCTTGTGATTTCGTTTAATTGACAAATTTAGCCTGTCATTTTTATTTGTATTTTTTAATTAAAGCAACTCTGGTTTATAAGGCAATTTCAATTCTAAATCTACTAACCCTATGTCTGGTGTGTTTTTAAGTATGATTACGGACGAACAAGCAATGAAAACTGTGAAGGCGAGTGGTCCAGTTGCTGGACCCTGTATGCCTGAATTTGGACCTCAGAGGCTTTTAAGGTTACAGTTAGAAATGACAAATTACAGCATTAAACCCATATACTGCAACATAGACTGAAGTGTATCATTTCAGCCATTAAATATATTCAATATTTAAAGGACAGATACAGTTTTGATATACAGTACTTTATACATGTATATTTTTGATAATTCACAACTAGTTGTTTGTACATGAGTTAGCAATGAAAAAGTACTTCTGTACAAACAATAGTCACATAGGCAAATGAGCCTATTGCTATCATATGAAAACTGAATGTCAGCAACATATTGTTGTCGACATTCTGCTATCAACTACAGCAGGCTGACATACATAGCAAGTACATCCAGGCACTGCAGCAATAATGTGATTCCTCCTTCCCTCTCCATATACAAATGATTACTTAAGTTAATGCACATTTTTTCAATATTTGGCAATACAGTAGTTAGAGCTTCACTGGTCACTTAACATAAAAGAGGAATCAAATTAGTAATTCCAAACATCCATACAAATGAGATTTTGTAATACAGAGAGCGACATACGTAATTTACATAAATATTGAAGAACTTGATGACAGAGTTGATCAATTAACATACATTTCTTTGTGACATATACACAAGTACTGTCAAGTAGGGCAGTGTTTGATAGCAACAAATAATCAATTATTTCATTCAACTCTTTAGACATTAAACATATTGTACATAGTTATGAAATTTTGTTTGTTTCTTTCCATACAACAGGACTAACATCATTTAGCCATAAATTAGTTATTAATTTATTCATGATTCAGTAGATTTTAACTACTGTATTATACAGTACAAAGAATTTCACATGTTATAAATCACAGAGTATATGAATAACTTTTATATACCAACGACGAATCTTGCCAGAAATGTTTAATATTGATAATACAGTATACTGACAATAAACATTATTACACTTCATTATTAGCAAATAAACCAATACTTGCCATAAGACTACACACAAGAAAAACCAACTCCCATTTCAAACTCAAAAAAAAATCTAAATAAAATATATAGATATATAGATACTGTATATATAATTGTAAAATATTGCATATTTTACAATTATATCTTCTGTATGAAGATTTACCGCTGAAATAAATTTGCCAAAACATAAGGAATTACAGTACAAACAATAAGTCACAATACTGTGGCTGAAAATTAAGACACCCAAGCAACAAATCTGGAAACAGAGACAATGTTTTGTCCTGTCCTGGACCATCATAAAGTCCAGGACAGGCCAAATTATTGGCAGTTCCCTTGCTTTGAGATCTGTGGGTTGGGTGTCTAATTACAGTACAGTAACTAGAATTACTAATGCATTCATTATAATGCCCTAAATAAAATAGAGTAATGGGACATACACTAAAAAAAAAAAATCTTTTGAATTTGCCCCTCTGCCTAATGATCATACAGCCATGATTTATAGGCATATTATCAGGTCAAAAGTATGATACGGTACATTAATCTAATGTAGTAAAAAAGTTGGGTTCCTTCCAGTTTTAAAGCAATTTGTGAAGCATATTAACATTAAATGTTCATCAGATCTATTGAACGAAGAATTTCACCTAGAAAACATTTGTCCCTGTTAGTCATGACTATAGTAATCATATACACAAAAATCAAGGTACTACATGGAATGAAACAGTGGTATATAAAGTCACTTCTCTTAACTGTTCACTTACTGCAGATTCTTCCAAATACTTTTGTGATATACCCATAAACATTTTACAATACAATTATTGAAAAATTCACTTGTATATACTTGGGTATACTTATGCAGTATATAGATTTAGGTAACTCTTTTTAACACACATTTCAGTACAGTAGTTGAAATACTATGCACACCATTGTCAGAACACATTAACTTACATGCACAGTGGAATGGCATGAATGTGATGTATCTTGTGTACCCACCCCTGAGGAGTCCAGGGACGTGGGTTCAATCCCAGCAAATTACCTCCAATATTTTCTCATCTTTATTCTGACAATGCAAGCAAATGAGATAAGCAAAGATGAGTCATAATGGTCAGTTAGGGATAACTTTTCATAGAGAAGCAGAAGTTTTAAACTGATGTCCAAGATATTCCAGATCAAGTCCAGCATTGTTCTTAAAAATGTTATCGGTTTCACACCACCATAACCTTTAACAGAAATTGTTAATTTTGTAGTTTTTTATTATATAAATTGCACAGCCTTTCAACAGAGAGCAAGTTGCCCACTTCAAATCATTGTAAGTTGGAAAATATTCCACTTTTCTCTTGTTGGGTGAAAATATTTGTTTTCCCACAAGTGATAAAATATTTAATACAGATTATTTTTCCAGTATTTTCCCCACTGCAAGCTTTCTTAAAAACAGCTATGTTAAATATTATGCACAACATACAATTTGGGGAAAAACCATCTACTGTGTGTGTGTGTATATAATAATAATAATAATCACACACACGTAATCATACACATAATGTGTGTTTTTTTTTTTTCTAATTAAAACTTAAATTTGAGAACCAAACTCTACCAACATGCTACGCCATTCTCATTTGTCCGAGATACGTGTTTGAGGGTTTGGTTCCTCTCATTACCGTTTAATTTGAAAAGAGCTACTTTACACTGACTAGTGTGAAATTCAGTTTGCATATACAAACAAGTGTATAGAGACAATATTACTCTCTCTTCAGTAATCAAAACTTTACAAAAACAATTAAAAAATACTGAAAAATGGCTATATGTTGATATAGATATTCACAATTGCTAAAGTATATTAAGGAATCATTTAAACCAATTTAGATTAAAATCAAAATAGAAAACTATGATTTGTTACTCAAAATGTAAATCATACTTTTACTTCCAATTGTTTTTAAAAATTGTAAAATAATTAGCTTTGCATCCACGGCATTCACTGCAATTATCATGTTCTGGACTTTTGATATATGATAGAAAATTAAAGAATTTAATACTAAGTTGAGAAAGTGTGCACATGTGTATGGCAGACGTATGTGTGTGTCCATGCATGCATTCATTTTCTGTAACATGCCTCTCAGTTATAAACATGTCCTATGACTTGCCTCTTGATTCCATATACAGTATACAGGTGCAGAGAAAAGACTAAATTTCCAACATGATCCAGTAATACACATCAAAATAATTTCTTCCTTTGTGAAACATGCAGAATCCATCAAGGAATGTGATTTCTTTTCTGTAGAAACTTAATTCACTTTGACTAAAAAATGCAAATTAATATCCAAAATAATAAGATTCCCATTGGCCAATGACCAACCTACTTGTAGCATACAGGAAATGACATAAAATGAGGCAGAAACCTAAATTAACAGCTTCTAAAATAACATCCGTTGAGGAATAACATTGGAGTATAAGTACAGGGTCAAGTTAATCATTCTTGCCATCTTTATATAAAAAACTAATGTCTTATATGAAGGCTCAGATCATTTCAGAAATTCATGACTAGCCCTACCCCCCCCCCCCATTCAGCACTATATACTGTATTGAACTAATACAATTGTACTCTCTCACTTTTTCTAAAATTTCAAGCAAGTTGCTGGTGCTCCTCAATTAAAAATCTATTATTTCTTTCAATGTTAGTTATCAAAATATTATGATTAGAACTATACTAAAAGTTATAATTCCTCTTTACAATTTTGTAAGAGCTATTATAGTTAAAAAGTCAATATTTAAATTACTATAATAAGGAACATTTCAACAAGAAACATTCTTAAATAAACATGTATGTGCTGTATTTTTATCATCTGTGCAAAACTTCATTCAATGTTAACCCAAACTATCAGCCCATACAGTATTATTCTGACCCACTGCCACCACTCAATCTGAGGTTTTCTCTGGAGCATTGTACACCTCGGTCATCTTTCGCTAGACAACTTTATGTGAATGATCATATAGAGTCAACGGATCAAAACTAATTGGTGCTGGGTTTCAATTTCCAAGCGGAACACAATGTCTGTTCAAAGTTTTTTGGCACCCAATGCCTCTGTTCATTTATCAACAAATAGGTACAGTACAGTACCTGGAAATTAGTCAACTGTTGTGGGGTGCGTGTCAAGGAAGATCAGTCATTGGCCTAGGGCCGAATTACACAAGACACTACAGAGGCCCAAAATTTGCTCGGCAGATTATTTCTGTTGCTCACCATTACAGATAGAAATGGATAATTTTATATTTTTTTAATCTTAATTTTAAAAATAATGATCATTATATGGCAAATTGCCACCCATAGCAGAAATACCAGCTCATCACCTTGTAAATATTGCAAATACCTAATCGTAATTCCCTTGGTTGTCCACAGGGAATCCTGATAAGGGATTTGGCAAAGAAAGATGCCAGCAAACCTGTAACCGAGAAACCAATTCTTGACCAATGGCGTGGATGGCCATGCCTCAATATCGTACCCCACATTGACCCACGCATCCTGCACCAACACTTTTCATTACACTTCTCGCAAAAAGAGGGCATTACTCAGTGATTTTTGAAGAATTTGTACTTTTTGTTATTATCCCAAACCTATAATTTTAAGTGAAAATGAGTGATCATAAGACGAGGAAAGCTGAATAGGAAAGATTTAACAAGGAATGGACTTCTAAATATTTTTTTACCAATGTGGATGGAAACTAGTGTTTAATTTGCAATACTATATAGCCATTTTGAGACCATGAACACCTTTGAAAATTACAATTAGTTATTTATCTTCCCCCCATTAACTTAAACAAAACGCATACAAAAGGCTTTATGAACCTTTATGGAATTTTGGCATTTCTTCCTAATGAACATTTTAATTATGATCAGCACTTTCTTATGACCAGTAAAAAGCTTAACTTTTGCTACTTATTTCACTTCAATAAGTTGTTCGTGACCAATGTCATTTTCCCAAATACTGTAAATGAAATTTGCTTTTTTTCAATGCAATGCTAATATAAACAAATATTTATATCTTCCCAAATCTAATGAAAATTTCAACAAAATTTATATAGTGGAAAAAAATTGTCTTCATTCTGAAAAAAATAAAAATATCCAACAAATACTAGAACCAAACACTTTTTCATACTAAATGTACTGTATAAGGTTTATATATATACATCAATAAGTCAAGTACATACAGTAATTATCAAAAGAAAGCTCTAAGCTCCTATATTCCATTCAGAATGCCAATATGAGAGCAGAAAGAGACAAGGTAAGCAATGTCAAATGGGTTCGATTAACAAAAGCTCTTACTAAGGGAACATGTTACTCAAAATTTCATTGAAAAAGCAAAATTTTCAATCATCTCATAAATTAGGACATTGTACAATGAAATGCACAATGATAGTTGGACAATGCAGTTCCAATAGTAACGTTCAGGTCTCGTTCCATTAAGTACCTATCAGTTAAATCTTGTGGTCAATATGTAACCGAGCCAGAGATGTTTCCCACTTTTTAATCCAGAGAAGGTAAAAATGCCAAGAGGATAGGTCACATTTAATAGCACATAATTTATTATTTGAAATAGTCAACCATCTATCTCCAATTGTTGAGAACTGCTTTATGAATGACAGGGTAGAAATCAGAGTCAGGAATTCATTTCTGTGAGATGGGGCAGGCATGAATGGCTTCTTCAGCAGTGAATATGTGAGATCATCTAGAGGCAAAACTCAATTGCCTTGTATCTACTAAAGAGAGGGAATTACCAATGTTGGATTTCTTTCCCCCACTCGATATAAAGGTTAAAAGACTCCAGGGCAATTAGAGCACTGTGTGAGTCAACCATAATAATAAACTAGCATTGGCACATGAGAAGCAGCCGTGTTAAAGCAAATCAAATCAAGGAAAGCTCAGCTGTAAAAATCTTTGTCCATGAGGAAAGGTAGCACATAAGTAATTTGATCAGGTAAACAACAAAGCCAATGCCATTAACAGACTTTGATTCATCAATAAACAGAGCAGCTATAGCATTCTTAAAAAAAAATTTGGATATTGTAAACAAAAAGTATTTAACATTGTCACCACCAGACAAGAACCCCTAGTAGAGTGCAAAGACATTTTAAAGAGGTTTGGGATTATTGTCGAATATCACAGTACACAGACGTGTTTTTCTATGATATAGCAGTTAACTACCATAATGTCGAATGCTGCAGTACAGTAAATCAGAATTTAGCTTTTTCAGTAAGTCAAATGCTCCAGCCATAGAGATCAGGAGAAATACTTCAGAACAAGTTAATGTAAATAGGTCATCTGCAAATGTTTCAGACAATGGAAGAAACTACAGCATGTCATATTGTCCCTCAGAATATAACTTTGGCATCAAAATTCCTGAACCATGTGATTAATTCTAATATCAGAGTTTACTAAAAGAAAGGTCTGAGGAACAGCAAAGTTAACACACGCTCCCCACAATAATACATACTCTCAAAAGATAATTCATTCACAGCCTTGTTATGGACATTTATATATTTATCAACTTTAGGCCAAATTAACATTTTTTGCCTTTACTATCTTCAATTCTAGCTTCAATTCAACAGATTCATAATGTTTACATCATAGATCAAAAGCTGCTAATATAGCAAATTGAAGCAACATATTTACGGTTTTATACCCCCTCCAACCCGTCATTCCCTTTACATTTAAATTGCTATCATACTTCCCACTAGAAAATTGCACATTACAGTACTGTACCACACCTTGAAGCTTCCCTACATAAAACCTTATTGTAAGACTTCTTTCAAAGCTTTATTTGCTTTCAAACAAAGCTAACAAATAATTAAAAAAAATCCAGTTCCTTTAAGTGTATTTAGTTAATAGACATTTCTTAATTTTTGTCAATAAGACCAATAAATAATGCACCTTAGTGAATAATAAAAAAAAATGTCCCTTTCAACAATCTTTTTAAGCTTCAATCAATTTTAAATCATTTGTACTACAGCTCATTTGATTTTAATATAGTGTAGACAAGGTTTAATCTTCTGGTTCAGTATACTGCAATGGGAAAATATCCATACTGCAATGCAAAAACTTATATTAATAAGATTTTCATAGCAACTAAAGAATTATTTAATACCAGTATACCATGAAAAATCCTGCAAATAAAATGGAGACATTCGGTTGATACAAAAATCACACTTGTGTCCATACCAGCACCAGAATATGCCAACCACTAACATCAGGAAAATTATCAAGGCTAATAATAATAATAAAATAAATTATAATGCATTATACATACAATTCAATTCAAATATGCAAATTTTCATTAAAAATATTACATGCATAATCAACACAAACCCATTTGTGTGTTCATATTAAGAAAATGGACACTTGTTTAAAGGAAAACTAAGTGTAATTCTGGCTATAGGATAAACCCCTTTTATTATAACGTATTAAATTGACTAATATTAAGTAGCCATCAAAATTTTAATGCCAATGTTTCACTCAAAATGTCAATACGACTCACTGAATACTATTATTCATAGATGCCCACAATATTAATGTTTAAAATGCAGTGGGATTGGCTTTGCATGTCAAATACAAAGGTTTTATACTGTACTACTGTACTTTTTTTTTTTATCAAATGCCTGCACTGAATATGTAGTGTGGCTGCCATCTAGTATAGTAACACATCTAGACTCCAGAACTCAATACGTAGTGTTGCTGCCACCTAGTTAAAAGTCTAGATACATTTTCTTAAAAAATAAAGAGTATGGAGATACATTAAAATTAATAAGCCTATTATCTTTCAGCACATATTTGTCAATAGGGCAAAACTCCCAAGACAATGCAATGACTGACATTTTTTTAAACAAAATGTTTTATAAATGTCTCATTACAGTAAAAGACCAGATTATTTACCTTTGTATATAGAGTGAGAAGTAAAATATGCAGGTCAAGAGTCTCTACAACCAGACTCCACCTGTCACACACTTAATCAATCTGCAAAACCCTTATGAGCAAAAAGGATGCTAAGCTTCACTTTCTGGGTCATCTCCATCACAAGCTTTGACAGGGTCTGGGACTGGTGCGACTTCCTTGATACGGGCGATAGCTGGCGAAGTCTTGGGGGGCGAGTCAACCAAGTCGCCATCAAGAATGAGAAACTGACCATCAGAGCTCACTTGAGGGGGAGCATCGATGTCTGGAAGCTTGGCTATATTGGCCAACAGAAGTTTCTGGAAATAAGTAACAATGATCATAACATTTAACAAAAACTAAAAACCATGATAACCATTAAAATAAATAAAACTCACAATAACATTAATCCCATCATTAGATAATAAAATTCAACTTCTATGGTTACCTTCAAATGGTTTGTTACAACATGAAGCCTTACCAGCACTAAAGTTCCTAGGAGCTACTGAGGAGGCCAACCCAGAAAATTAAAAATAGAGAGAGAAAAAGATACTTACAGTTTCCTGCTGCCTTTTTTTCTCTAGTGTCTTCTTCTCTATAAGATGGTCATAGGCTGCTTTTGCTGCCAAACCCAAAGCAGTACAAATGTCAGTTCCGTTGCCATCTGCCTCAAATACAAAGCAGGAGTATCCCGTGCTATCTGCTCCACCACCATTATCACTTTGGCGCACTATGTATCCTACCAGCCTGAAATTATTTGTTACTAAGACTTTGAATTGAACCAATGTTAAGTACAATTTTAACAAAATGCATACACTGTAATAACAAATACCTAAAACTTTTTTTTTTTAAACCAAGCTGATAACTATTATATATAATATATACACACACACACACACACACACACACACACACACACACAGTACAGTACAGCAGTATAGTCTTAATCATTCTGAGGTCATTGGCTCCAGAGGAAAGTATGATATGATTCAGACTTGAAGCCTAGTGCTGGGATCAAGTGATCATTCAATGCAGTTCTATAGATATCTCATATACATACATAAAGCTCATAATATTTATCTTTATGTATTCTATCTCATATAGAATACATAAACTGTATATATTTAACTGTTTATAAGAATGGCTCTGTATGTATACTAAGCTAAGGTAAAGATGTGTGTACCAGAATGAGCATTATCTCTGCACCTGCACATTGTACTGTATGTTATAAAGACACACACTTTCACATACCACAAGCCTACACATTTTAATATACCTAATAGAGAGACTAGAATTGCTACTGTGAGTCCTATATAAGAACATGCATTTTTTTTTATTAGTGCCATAGTATAGCCATTATTCATAACATAACCATAGCCTTTATATGTATAAGGAGAATATAAATGATTATCAAACCATATGTAAATAAAAGACATTGAATTCAATTCCGAGGGACATATTGGCACCAAGATTAAGTGTGAACATAATTAATGGCTCCCAGTCACAATTTCAGTTATTAAAAACTTAGAAAAATTTAACCTCAAGTACAATGATGTTTGCTCAATGACATATAGAGTAATAAAATAAAAATTACTTGAATTACACAACTAAAATTATTTAAAAATATATTTAATTTTCCATAAACTACAGTAATTTTCTTTTAAAATAGATAAAAGCTTAACAGGAAATTAAAGAACATGTTCTACCCTTAATTAATTGCATGGAACAGAAGTACAATTGTATGAAGCATGAAAAACATTGAACAAAATTACACATTAACAATGTCATCAATCACAGGGTCACAGCCAGTTTTCCCATCTAGGAAATGTTATAAAAGTAGCTCAAGATTAGGACTACGATTCCTAGTAGAAATCTCTCTTACAAAGGACTCTAATGTGTACTTGGCATGTACACATTACATACATCACAATTACTCACTTGTGATTTTCATTATGCGTAGCCCAATAAGCCACATCACACAGTCTGTGCTGCAGACGAATAACTTTAGTGGCGGCATCAGAGAGAATCAGATGCGAGCTGGAAGTCGAGAGGTGCAGCTCAGTCGTGGAGAACACGTTATGAATGGCTCGAGCAGCCAGGATCCTCCTCATCACCTCACACACAACACCTTGGCCTGCGGGTTAATAATGGACTCTACTACACAACACAGATTGCTATACAACCCATCAGATATAATAGATGCTTTTGTATATTACATTTTCTTAAATAAATCCTGAATTATGGTACTTTGCATTATAACCTCATTACAGTACAACTTCTAATTAACAAATTTGAGAGGGAATGGAGTTCTGATTAGGAAATAAAATGTATTCTTTACAACTTATGTATTTCATACACTTAAACACGGTAGGTGTACATAACACCAACATACAAACTTCATCCAAACATACATGCATGCATGCACATTTTGTACACCATTAATAATGATCCGTCCCTCTGTAACTGACGAAAACCAGCTAGGTTCTCATTAAACCACAAGTGAGTGACTTTACTGTGTTCCAAACCGCTTTCCACAATATCTAAACTGAGAATTTATTAAATACTTGCAAATTGCATTCCAAAAATCCAATGCCATTTTAATTTTAGATAACAGAGATAAGATACAGAATGAAGCATTACCAACCGAGTGGAGCACACACACTTAAACTGGCCGAAGAAAAATAAATAAAACACTGTACCTGTGAAAATTACAACAAAATATTACAACGCTGACCAATTTTTTAAAAGCGGCTCCATCAAAAGCAAGATCTACTCTCAGTAGCCCAGATATCGCTCCAAAACTTGAAATCATTTCAGAGAACGACCCCTTTTCCTACAGGAAAAATCAAATGCCATTCCAGAGCACTTTGATGTATCAAAGACTGCAACTGACCAACCTACTACATTCTTCCAGATGAACAGTGTCAGATACTGACCATGTTCATGCTGTAAATAATAAAGGAAAGATCCAGATATGAAAGTTGATTTCAATACTGATGACGTAGTTCACTGAACAGATCGTCGATTAACTAGTTGTCAACACCCTGCTGGGCCATTACATATATCAAACCATACTTTTACCAGCTGCACACAAGAAATTTATCACAAAATTATTTTTTTACAGGCATGAAGGAAAATAGTGCAGTGAAGCACACACTAGAATTTCTTAGCCATATTGCTTTATTTGCAAACTTTTTTTTAACCATAAACCTTCAACATCCCAGTTTGATGCAGCTGGATTCAGTGATAGGCAGAATATGGTTCTAGTTCAACAATGTGAAAATATAACTACTCGGAGATTCAATGACATTAAAATCTTGTTAAAATACAGGGATTTGGATTGACACAAATTTGGTAATATAAATTCTAAAGTGAGCATGAATATTGATTTTTCACCTATTAATCTTCCAAGTACAGTACGGCAATATGATGTATGAATCACACAGACAGAAAACCAACTGACCGATATACAACAGTCCTTAATTTGAAAGCCATACTGGTGAAGAAATCCAAACCGATATTGCATTATCTAATGCCAAAATTGCAAAGTAGATATTTCAGTATGCAGTGGTTAATGTTATGACATTGCTATCAACATGTCAGGTTATTATTGAGGAACGCAGAAGCTTTTAGAATAGATCAAGTATACCACATTCGTATCATGTGCTGCACACCCACTCAACACAATGTATCAATACAGACTTTATTCACTGTCCCTACAGTGAATGGACGTGGACATGCTTAGTAGAGTCAGTTTAGCAAATTTTGTTTATTAGTTCATGTATTAGAAAATCAGATGCCAAAGAGAGAGGAAGAGGCAACAGGCCCGCCTCAAGGAGAGACGCACATGCGACACTAATAGACTCATACAGTCATGATACACATGGCCTGAAACACACCAAGTGATTATCGGTGGAGAGCCTCTAACCATTTAAGTATGGCATGCTGCTGGTTATGAGGGAAAGGCAAAACATTCTTTCATTTTAAAACAAATATATTGACTGACTGACAACATATCTAACAATAAAAACCTTGTTTGAATAATTCAATGGTAGGAATATATAAAGTTACAGCTTGTACACTACACTGTATTTTAGCTTTATAATAAGCTCTCCACTTATATATGGACAAAGCATCAATGATGTAGATAAAAGCCAGTACAGTACTGCGCAGTCAACCACAAAATATTAGATGGAATTGGTACCGAGGTCCATCATATGGGCTAAAATAATATCTTTGATAATATATGAATGCTTTCCCACACATCCATTATAAAAAAAAATACAAAATCTATGTACTCGCCAAAAACAATTTCTGTAGTTCTGCTCAAAGCTTTTTAACTTTAGATTTTCAAGGGTATTTGAGGTAACGTTATGATGATTTTAGTACACGAGCATCTTCTGGAGTTTTTCAGCTAGAGGTTGAAGTGCATGTGTATATAACAAAAAAAACAAAATCATCAGATTACCACAGGAACCATGCTACATAACATATTTAAAGTACATCATATTTCCCTATCAAATTTAGAATGCATTTACTACATTAATAAAATCTGTGTTTTTATATGTACCTTTGTTTAGAGTGAAATATCTTGAACTACTTTATGGGATGCAAATATATATATATATATATATATGCCATGAAAGAAACAAATAGCACCTAAAATAATTACCGAGGGGGGGCATGCTACCTACCATACATACATTACGTAAAAAATCACTGTAAAACAATGTTTATTGCTTTGTATTGATTACAAATTTGATACCAGGCTAAATACTGCTACACAAAACATGCAAACCTTATCATTTGTGTACATTACTGTAATCATTGTTTTTATAAAAGTTACATAAAAAATAAACACAGTATAACCTTCATACAAAAATTGAGCTTTCACTTAATAAGCATAACTTTTTTTTTTTTTTTAGCATGAAACGAGAGCCAACGTCACCTAATACTTTCTACAATAATTTATCAATGCAATTACAAGATGCTTAGTACTTGGTGGCACTTAAACCAAACAAACAACCGAATCATATCACTCACCCTGTATGAAAGAAATTACTGAAAGAAAACCAATATAAAAAATCAATATCCTGTTAACAGGTGCATTCAAAAGATTAAAATAACACACGCTTGTCACTGGCACACAATTTAGGCAACAACAAAAAAAAGATACATGTGGTACATAAAATATCCAAGCATCATTCAGGATATTCAGAATAGCTATTGATGAACATTCAGATTTCATGCCAATTAAAATCTTGATCAAACTATGGAATTGGCTTGAAACTTTTTTTTATTTTGTTTTGTATTACAAATGAGTTACAGAGCTTAATTCAACTCATAACCTTGTTTGCTTATTTCATCATTATATTATTAATTTCATTTCTAGTAGATTAACCTACAACTACACAGTGGCAGCACTGTAATCAATAAAGTGGGTACCAAAGGATTTACAAAACCATAAAAAAAAGAATTGGGAGGGAGGGGGGGGGGAGGAAACACACACACATACATAGTAGAATATACTGTATCTACATCTCATACAAGCTCCTGTACTGTAGAGGAGTATACCCAAGACTATTCCAACCTTCATGCAGGAACTCGACTAGTAAGAGTATACCTTCTACAGAATGCATGGTAATGAGAGAGTTCATGAAAGCTTAGAAATAGGTAATTAACCATCCCACACACATGAAATGTGGACTGAATCAGCTGTGACAATTTGTGTGTAATGCATTGATTTATTTTACTTTCAGCCACAATATTCTGACATTGCTTTAGAAATAGTACTTTGAATTTGAAAAGATTACATTATGTCCCTACAGGTTTATAATGTACATATATGATGTAATTACACAGAAAATGGGAAAAAAAAAGAGGGGGGAAGGGGAAGAGAAAAGATCAAGCCAGACAGAAAGACACTGTCTCTGCTGATCCGTCCATCTTGTCCATACAGTACTGATGTGAGACACCAAGATGAGAGTAGGGACTTTAATGGTAGATAACATTTCATCTATAATGGCTTCATCTAATCAGAAAGATATACAGAACCAGTGCTTACAAAAGGGACAAAAAAATCATAATAGGAAGAATAAAAAATTCCTTAGAAGTGCATTCATCATGAACAGTATTAAAGAGGTTCTAACTATAAACACACTCCTTTCAGAGAACAGTCTATGAAAAGTCTCACCTTTGTCCACATTGACACCCATGGAGCCAAGGAAACGCACAAGGAAGAAATTGCTTCCTTCGCTGCTGTCAAGCACACACTCTTCCCCTGCACCTTCCTTTGTTGTTTCCCCACTGTAATTGCATGTACAATATGTAAGAATCAATAAATAGTACTAGTAGGTTTTGGAACTTCTGAACAATACAGTAATGAAAATGTGTTAATTTTATAGATGCATTCAGGAAGTAGATATTACAAATACATTAACTAGACAGTGATTTATAGAGCATACATTGTAATTGAGTGAAGTATCCAGTACTTGAGAATTAAATTAAAGTTTTAATAAGTTGGCTTTGTCTCTCCAGTGTTCCATGTACTGAAAAAAGGAAATAATAATAATTGGGTAGCTTAATGAGAGACTGGTAAGATGCAGACAATGACTCACAACAACATGGCTGATGACATGGCCAAACTACACATCAGAAGATGAAGAAACGATGATGTTTTGGTATGTCCTGGACCATTATCTGGTCCACCAACCTGGATCAACACACGACTTGATGATGGTCCAGGACAGACCGAAACGTCGTCGTCTCTTCATCTTCTGATGCGTGATTTGGTCATCAGACTGGTAAAATATAAAAACGTGAATATCATAAGGGGTTATTTGAAAAGCTACAGTGAAAGAGAGATGTCTGGCCACATATATCATGTTACACAACATGAAAGAGCATAATAAATTATAAACATAATAACAAAGAGCTTCCGCGAGCGCTATGTCATGGGTTCGTATCCTGGCCGGGGAGGATTTACTGGGCGCAATTCCTTAACTGTAGCCTCTGTTTAACGCAACAGTAAAATGTGTACTTGGATGAAAAAACGATTCTTCGCGGCATCGGGGATCGTATTCCAGGGACCATAGGATTAAGGACTTGCCCGAAACGCTACGCGTACTAGTGGCTGTACAAGAATGTAACAACTCTTGTATATATCTCAAAAAAAAAAAAAAAAAAAAAAAAAGGATATTAGTGCCCTATAAAGGTCCAATGTTATTGGACATCTAACTGACCTATGAAGACTGAGAGCAGATGTTTCTTCTGGTGAAGTGAGAAGATCAAACACTATGGGATTGTCGGGTGGAATAGGTGCTTCATGTGGACTGCTTGCTGTAGCTGAAGAGTTGGATGATGGAGATGTAGATGATGTAGTGATAGTTGGAGTTGAAGGAGCTGAACCCATTGCAGCAGATGCAGCATGAAACTTATCTGCCTGTTAAGAGCATCATACCATTTTTAAGCATTTTATCAGGAAAACTTTTTTCTTCTTTTTTTAACCATTACCTTTTTTTGTACTCAAATGACTTAGGTACAGTATTACACAAATGCTTCGTTTTATTCAGCACTTACAAAAAACTGTCCCACGCCAGAGAAGAGTGAAGCAGGGGAAGCTCTCTCATCTTTGATGTAGCCACCATCTTTTGCCAGGTTGTGAATAGTCAACATCCATTCATCCCTCTCACGGTCATTTAGAGCCTGAAGTGTCACAGACCTGAAATACCATTAGATATTGAAAATAAAATAACAGGTTTAACAATATAAGAACCATTTACAGTACAGTATATAGTTGTTATTTGTCGAACTGTTGCCGACAGAGAACACCTTAAATCACAACCTGGAGCTTGTTTCACATCTATGTCTATTAAAAATAAAAAATAAAATTAAAAATGAAAAGCTCAACTCTCACATATGTTGAAACAAATGAGAGGGACACAGAAAGAGCATTCTTGACAGACTTAATAACCAGTGAAGATGACTGTATAGTAGATAGTGGCCATTAGATATTGGTAAAAATGATAATTGATGCAACTAAACTATTTAAACTATATAATGAGTGTAGCTCATTTTCTATGGTGAGGTACAATGTGATACCTTCCTGAAGACCCAATCAAATGCAGGTTATGATTGATGAGCTTCATTCTGTAATTCACTATATGTAGCTTGAGAAAAACAGAACAAAACAATGAGAGCTAGAAGCAAGGAAAAACAAATATTACTCGTCTTCAACATATAATGCTAGAGATTAAACCTAAGAATATATCATTCATTTTTAAAATATAATATTGAACTACTACACTTACTTTTTGCTAGTGGCCACCTGAAAAACGTGACGTCTGTCATCAGTGTCTGTAGCATGTACAAGTGTGGAGGAATCAACCTCGAGAAGAAGTGCTCCTGCTGCCTCCCCTTTTACCATGCTCATCAGATTGCCACCTTCTAAGAATACAAACTGCCTTTCCCAAGAGCTCATCACACCCATATATTTCCTGAAACAACAATCATGTTAAGAAGTGTTGCAAGAAAAACTACTTGCCTTACAAAACTCATACATGATAATCTGACCTAAAAAAAAAAAATGTTGGCAAAAAACTCACTCAATATCTGACCCAGATAAGAATACAGCACAGTTGCCAGTTTTTCATATAAATAATCATAAACCCCTTTTCCTAAATCAATAGATAAAGGATATACCAACATGAATAATTGATCTCCATAAACATATGAGCCACAATGGTTATTATTTGATTCTTTGAAGCCTCTGGACAATCCCCAGTGTTGAGGGGAGAGGAGAGGAGAGGAGAGGAGAGGAGAGGAGAGGAGAGGAGAGGAGAGGAGAGGAGAGGAGAGGAGAGGAGGGGAGGGGACAGGACGCAAACCTTTAGTTGTTCCTTCCCTAGTCATCATTGAGGGGTTTGGCCTTTTGTTTAACCTTCCCAAATCATTCTTCAGGCCAGTGAACTCTTGTTGAACATTTCCCTGGTCATTCTTGATGACAGTAGCCTCTAGCTGAACATTCCTCATTAATTTAACTCATCTTGATGACAAACCACACATCAGATAATGAAGAAACGACAGAATTTCGGTCCATCCTGGAAAAATTCTCATGTTGAGTGTGTATTAAGTCAAAACACTACTTGATAATGGTAAAGGACAGACCAAAATGTTGTCAATGCTTCATTTTCCTATGTGTGGTGTGATCATCATTCTTCAGCAACATTATTGTGACGCATCGTCTTCACCCATCTTCAAGGGTACTTTAAGCAATTTATGAAATGTTATAGGCTTTTTGGGCTATAGCATAAAGACCATATAGATGCAGTCACTTGTTTATCATAAAAATCACACACACACAAAATTTTGCAAATCAATATTCTTTTCGTATACAGTATAGCAATCCTGGCTTTATGTTCACTTTTGATATCAATTTATTTGCCATTGTACAAAGTAGATAGGATTATTTTAACATCAACATTACATAATCCGCATTCTTTCAAGCAAAGGCTTGATATAAATAAATTTGGGTGAATATAAACAGGAGCGTCCTCATATAGGCACATAGGCCTTCAATTTAATTTATTCTACTGTGGTTATGTTCTGGGTTTAGGTGGCATCACAACCCAGAGGGAAAAAATTATACTAAGTTAATAAAAGTTTTAGATACAGTAATGCTAAAAATATCTATCAACAATTTGTTACATCATTCAAACTATGGTACATATAATCATAGATAAACAAGTACCCACATGATAAATTTTGGAAAAAGATAAAACATTTATTGTACCATTCTTCATAATAATGAGATAACGCCTTGCAAATAGAGTATTTATCTTAAATGCTTCAGGCCTGAAAATAAATATGTATACTGTACTAGTTTGTAGTACCGAGATAATTGATATCCATCATGAGCTGTTAAAATACCTCATAAGACTGTTTTTTCCCCAGCATGAACAATTTTGTACAGCATAATGTCTGCCAAATAGATTCTCTACCCTATGTTCTATTATATTACGATATTATTCCGCCACCCTACATGGAGTTTTACCAACATATGACACTGTACCCAACATGATATAATTCCCCTACCCTACATGGTGTTTTACTACCATACGATTCTCTACCCTACATGGTATTTTATTACCATATTATTCTCTATGTGGTGGTTTTCCTCATTTTACTACTATATTTGTCCAAACTTGGCACTGTGGAAATATCATAAACCTGACAGCAAAGTTCATACTCTTACTTTTGGACATTAAGGTAGCCACTCTTGGTTGCAAGTGTGGTGTCAGGGGGCAAGGCAGCAATATCCGGGGGCGGCTGAGCATAATACATTAGCTGAGACTGGGTGATGATGGAATCAATCAGCTCTAGGGTGTCTTCTCTCTCCTTTGCTTGGTCCTCTTGCACACTTAATACAATATACAGCATTAGAATATATACAGGTGAAAAATATAAAAATAATATGTACATTCAAATTGACATACAAAAAAGAGCCAGATGCCACTGTACTACGATTAATGCATGAAAGAAAAGTCGATGCAAATCGGATAAATTTGTATAGACTTTTATCACAATTTCATCCCCTGCACAGACTAGTAATGTTGACTTCAATGTTTAACCAAACAAATATTTCTGTGGCATCATATACTTTACAGCCATTCAGATTCAAATATGTACTCTTTGCACTCTACATTAGGTTACTTATAAACTTTTAACATATTCTACAATCCCAGCTTTATAATTCTGTCAAGATAGACACTTGATCTATATTAATTGATAGCTAAAAATGAAATGGTTTCCAATCTTCTGTGACATTAATGCTTAATAAGGTGATCCTAGGGTAACAACCGACTTTTTCCAGGATTGTTAACAAATTATTTCTGAATTAATTTTGTGAGATTCCCTGATCTAGAGTCCATTATTAATAGGAGTTAATGTGCTTTCATTCCAACATGATTTTAGGAAGGCTGATTAGCCATCGACTCTCCAACAGCAACAAATTTCAAATACTTCCAAGATTAGTTACAATAAAGTTACAGGAATTCTTGTGATAATATTTTTCTCCGACTACACTGTATCCTATTCATCCAAATATTGAAAGAAATACCAAAGGTTTTAGGTACAACATCAGTAAGTGAGAAAGTGCTAAGCCAGTATGACTATATAGCATTTTAAAGGTGCAGGATGACAGTACAAGAGCTGGGACATGAGAATGGAGTGAAAGAATGGTGAAAAATTTCATTCCTCAGAATCACAAAAACATAGGAAGCTAACCTCTTGACACAGACAGAAATATTTGAGAGGAAATCCTCCACCTCAGGACTTGCCAGTGTGTCCCTCCCCATATTGTAATGTCCTCGCGTAGCTACCAATAGTCCCAGCATTGGCTCAAGCAAGGCTGTCTTACGGGAGAACTGGAGTAAATTGAGTTTTGAGTAGTAATGAAGGGCCATCTGCAAAGAAATTAAAAGAAAAATATTTTGTTTAATACTTTGTATAATATGGTTGGGGGTGACACAGTAACTAGAGATGCAAATTAGATTCAAAACCCATAAAGTATGGAAAGTCAGATAAGTTTACACAGTAAACTTTGGAAAAGAAAAACATTGTATGGACAGAAGATTAAATATACTCGGGCACTTATCCATCTATCACATGAAAGAAAAAGTGCAAGTCCAAGAAGAAAAGTAGTTGGTGTAATGTAAATACTAGTTAGGAAAATAGGTTAGATGCTACTAGAGCTGCATGGAGGAGTGCCAGTATAGTAGAAATGAATAATCTGAGAAGCATTTGTAGAGTTTGATGAATAGACACAAATACCAACAAATAAAACTGTCATGGAAAGATATGAAGTGTAATAGTAAATCAATTGTAAGATTGAGGAGAGTGTATTGAGATGGAGTGCTCATATTGAAGAAATAAATCAATAATCATAGAGTAGGGAAGAGATTGTATACAAGTGAATTTAAAGGTGGGAAAAAGTGGAAGGCAAAGAAGATGGACAGGTGTACGAGGAAGCCAAGATTGGGTGTGAACTCGTGCACAAGAGGTGGTGGGAAATACGTCTTTGTGGGAAACTCTTAAATTAACATTTATATAATTAAGAGCTCTTAATAAGAAGTACAAAAAGATCTGACAAAAAGCAACTCAGAATACAAAATTCTTTACAAGCCTGACTGCATTAAAAAGTCATGTTCCTTACATGAATAGCTAAAGACCTTATTCCAAAATAGGTAAAAGTTGCAAGTGGCAATTATATTTAACTTACAAATAACTAAAGTTTATATAAAGAAAACTTTGATATAATAAATCCTTGCATTGTACAAGTTTAAAAATGGAAATTTTGTTTTATGTCTACATATGCAGTTTAAATTTATTAAAAGAAATAAGGATGTGTTCACCTATATGTAAGTTGGTGCACAAATTTAGTGCAACCAAAATGCTGTTTTGGTATTCAACACACCAAATACCACACATTGATAATGTTCACAAAAGCATTTTATTAGGGGGACAAATAAATGAACTTTTGGTGGTCTCGGTAATTTAACCCCATTTTTTCCATATAAAGTTAAATATGCTCTTTGCAAATTCACCCTACATGAATTTACTCAGTGCAAGATAACTACCCACTTTACAAACATTAAAATACCGGAAGAGTAATCCATTACCTGATGAAACTTTTTTTTGGAGACATACACGTCTTCATTTGATTCACGATACTCCAGTTCAGGATCTCGTCGACGGCACCTACTATACCGCGTGACTGCCCTCTCCAAGTCTATGCCTGCATTCTGTAAAACAGTTGCCATATTCCACAAAATAATAATTCCATTTTCCTGGCAATTCAATATTTCAAGATACAATACCAACATATATATATATATATCTATGGAAGGGGGTAAGTGCATTGACGAGGTACATGCAGAAATAATTAAATGCAGTAGAGAAAAAGTATGGTGTGGGTGCGAGGAATTTAGCCAGAAGAAATGGAAAAGTGGTACCAACATACAAATATCATCGGTACTAGGACAGATGATATTGTATTGTACATTGTAACTGTACAAAATTATAAAGACATAAGTCTACTATATATAATGGGAAATAGTGTATAGTGATTGATGAGCACAGTAAATTACTGAAAAATTGGTCAGTGATGAATAAAATGACTCCTTGGTGGACATAATTGCATGAATCAGACACAGTATACATGAATAGCACATAGCCATTTGCACATAGCCGCAAAAGCAATATGAGAAAGATTTTAAAGTGTATATAGCCTTTATGGACTTTTTTTTTTTTTTTTAAGCATATGAATAATTAACAAGGGTATCTGGGAAGCAAGTCCTACCCCTTACCTACTCGTGGTGTTTCCTGGGGTCATATCAACAATGGAGGTAAAACACATCTTTAAATGCCTTTCTTTTATTACTTCTGTTTTCTCCAGGCTGATGCCTTTCCACCTCAATAAAGTGCTAAATTGGGTATAATAAGACAATAAACATGTGTAACATCAAAATTAACAAAGAAAGCATGGTACTTAGACACTAACACGTGCCCAAAGACAGCTTGGCATTCAGACCCCAATGTGGGCCAGCCAGATGAAGAACAACAGTGATATTTTTCACCAGCTCATAAAAATAATACTAAAAATGTTTTTCAGAGCATTGCTGAAACATTCCAAGGCATCACCCTATTTTTTTGTATACACACCTGATAAAGCGTTCCCATGGTGTCCATTTCGTGTAATTCTGTATCTATGAACCTTGATAGTGGATACACGGCTCCATCAGCAATCTGTGTTGCTACTATATGCTCCCATGAACTCATCTGCAAATACAAGAATGGTCTATTGGAATGTAAAAACACAGAGTTAAGTCTACAGACCTTGTGTCAATAATAACACAAATAATATGGATCAATATAAGAATAATAAAAAAAATATATGGTATTTTCATGCATTAACAAAGCTTGCAATGAAAGAATAACATCAAGAAAAAAAACTGTTTAACATGTGATGAAAACCTTTTAGCAATCACAGTAATACATAAATATGAAGACAATGAAGAGTAGGTAACTCACTAATATCTAAATCTAAGGTATGAGTGACAATATATTGCCAACTTTATGATACAGTATTTCAATAATCTTTTACCGACTTCTTCCACAAAATTGCTTCAAGCATCGAGCTGTACTGTACATGGTCAGCATATTTTTTATTTATATATACTGTACAAGAGTTCTTACATTCTTGTAAAGGCATTAGCAAGCATAGCATTTCGGGCAGGTTCTTAATCCTAATTTTCCCTAGAATACAACCCACCAAATCATTTAACAACTAGGTACCCATTCACTGCTAGGTGAACAGAGGCTACAGTTAAGGATTGGTCAATCCTCCCCGGCCAGGATACGAACCCAGGCCAAAGCGCCGGGCGAGTGTCTTACCACTCACCCATATTGCACAGGGACTGCAATATGAATATGGAAACAGCTCAGAATAATCAGAACGTTACTAGTGTTCATATATAAAACATCAAAATCAATTGATTAAGGATAAGGATTTACCGTCACATTGACTATTTTGGTCATTTGTGCCAATATCAATATATGGCATGCTTTTGAATGAACATGGGCAAAGATTAGGAAATTACTCTCTACAACATTTAATCATTCGAGGAGAGTCTCATTTGAAGTAAGCAAAATTCAACATGTTTGAGATACAGTATTCTTCGATTTGCTCTACTAAGTAAAGTGGAGGATCACCTAGAAATTCTTTTGCGAAGAACTTCTATCAGTAATGCTGAAGACCATTCTATAAGTTAGGTCATAATCTCTACATTCTTGAAGAATATTTCTAATGGCAAGTATTTCATCATAGCCAAGACACTGGTATGATTTCATTACACAACAAGTGCATGCATGTTCCATACATATGATCAATACAAAGGCAACAAAAGGTAACCATTTCCATCCTTGAATCACTGTCACATGATGGCTAGTTCTCAAGTATCTCTTCCTCCTAGTTTGTTTAATCAGTGAAGTGGAATTCCTTCATGTCTATAAAATTTGCCATTTAGATCACAAACCATTTAAACCACAACTGGTTTAATGGTTTTCATAGGTCAGAGAAGAAAATTCTCAGACAACCTGACATGGAAGCTACTCAAAATATTCAATACTCTATAAATAATAATCAATCATCACTGTGAACTTGTGGTGATGTCATAGTTCATATATAATATCACCACAAATTCACGGCAATGGGTGATTATTATTTATTCAATAGTTTGAGTAGTTTCCCTGTCAGGTTGCCTATGAAAATTTCCTACTCTGACCTATGAAAGTCATTAAACCAACTGTAATACAAGAGCCTTTACTAACAATCAAAACAACTTCAGAGGGAACTTGACAAAGTGAAAACCTCATCTAGTGTCCATGGAATACAAAAGTATAACCTGTAGTCACATTGCATCTGAACAAATTAAGTCATTCACTAGGAAAAAATGACCCAGTATCACAGAGATGAATACTGTACAGTTCAGCGCTTTCAGTGTTTATTACATATTAAAATTATTCATATTGTCACATGAATCCCCTGCATAGCAGTGGAACTACCTTTTCCCTTCACCTTCAATGCCTCTACACTAGAAGTCTACATCTACACCAGCCCAGATAAGTCATCAGTCCTGCCACCTCTCCATATCCCTCAGGGCCTGGCACGGCCTGGTACAGCTCAGAGGCAAGCCGGGCACCACTGCTAGCCAGTAGTTTGCCCCCACAATCAAGCAGTTAGCCACCTTCAACTGGCAGTGGTGCAGTCCAACACAAAGGTAACGCCAGCCACAACGAGCAGTTTGCTAGTTGACCAGATGTCCACCTTGCGTTGACACTGGACGAGTCATCACCGCCGGACTATATAAAGGGCGCTGCCTTCCTGGAGAGTCAGTCTCTCCCTTAGTGCTCTAGGATCACCTTCGTGTCTCTCACCCATCGTCCGCCTTAAGCCCAACATTGCTTGACTGATGGCATGGTAGTATGGTAACTGTCTTCAGTACACCAGTATGTCTTTATGCTTTTATTCATTGCTTATAGTTTATTTTTGCATTTAAGGTCATACTAACTTGTTCACCTTTGCATTACATGATAGCCAAGTATTGTCATGTGTCATTTTTGTTCATTACTATTTCAGTAAATTGTTTAATTATTTATTTGATGATTTTCATTTGTTTCCACCTGCGACTTACACACTGTAATGCCAATAGCAGCATTTTTTATTTGTGTGAGGGAGAGCCATACCATCTTGGTTTAGTATAGCTGTGATACCACAACCTGCCACAATATCCTGGCTAGAACTTAACATTAAACTAAGATCATTAATTAATATCCATTGTAATGAGCAGTAGTTGAGCAACTGTATAATAAAACTCAAGATAGGTTCTGTGACCATGCCCCGAACATATCAAAACCTGAAATACAGATAAAACCTGATATATAAATAAAACCTGAAATAGACATGAGAATTGTTCTAGAGCAATTAACCTTGCATTAAAATGCTCAGTAATCACCTCACCTCTGATATGTGTGTTGCAAACTGTTCAAGTGTCGATACCTCCACTCCGTCACTGTCATTTTCTACTGAAAAGTTCTGCAAATAATTAAACACAGCATTACAGTACATGTATATAAATGAATAATTTCAGTAGCATAATCCAAAATAATAATTTGTTTACCATAATATATATAAAATGATATCCTGTACCAGAGTATCAGATACTGAACTAAAAACTTACACTTACAATTGACTTGTATGCTTTCAGATGCTTGGCCAAATCTTGGTATGCTGAAGTGAGTTGATTGTGGGCAGCCACCAGCTTAGATGAGAGCTGGTGAAGGGTTGTGACATAGTCTCGAAGAGCTCGCGCATCTGCACTGGCCACTCCCACCAGGGATCGAACCTAGTTTATACAGATGATGAGTCACAATAACGTGGCTAAAGATATGATTTGATAAAGACAAACCACACACCAGTAGGTAAGGAGACGACGTTTCCGTCCATCCTGGACCAACATCAAGTCGACCATTATCAAGTTGTCTCCTCATCTTCTGGTGTGGGGTTTGGTCATCACCTAGTTTATAAATTCAAAATATTATTTCTAATTTATTATTTGCTCTACACAGCATATGAACATGATACAACAAAAGGAAGAGGAAAAGAGAGAGAGTGAAGTGGGAGTGCAAGCAAGAGAGACAGTGAAGCGGGAGAGTGAATGAGAAAGAAGCTGGGGCTGCAGAAAGAGAGTGAAGCAGGAATGTAAGCGAGAGAGAAGAGGACGAGTGCAAATAAGAGCCAAATTGTGATTGTTTTTGCTGGAAAGGACTGGTGTGCATGCCATAAGTGTTATATAACAGTTGTGAGTGCAACTACAATTACAGGTCATTAAATAAAAACCGCATCATGACAAAAACCAAGGATAATGTTTAAATGCACGTTATAAAAGGCTTGACTGTATAAAAAAAAAATGGCAAGTGTATAACATGGAGAGAGAGAGAGAAGCCATGATACCAGGAAAAATCATTGAACATGGTAAAGAAATACATGGGCAGAAAACAAGTGGTCACAGGCTGAGAGCTGGCCTGCTCTCAGGCTGTGACACCTGTGTCAGATTTATACAACTGAATAACAACTTCCAAACACAGCTTCTACTTATTGAGCGACTAAGTGCTTAGTGGAGTTTGTAGTTCATTTTCTTTATAAATCTGCTACTGGTTGTGTTAAAAAAAATTTTTTACAGGATATGATGTGAATTTTTAAGCCCTATGTCATCACTTAATAATAATATTTATTATTATTAAGATTGATTTAACAATGACATGAATAATAACTCATTTGCAATAGGGGCAGAAAATTCATAAGCATTTTTTGTTATTAACAAACTTGACAAATGTTAATCTTCTTGTTTGAGAAGCTGTTCACTTGAGAGAGTTAAGCAAGTCCCAGCTGTGTCTGAGTACAAGTGACAGGATGAACAACCCAGCGGGTTTTCTTCCTAATTGGGGAGTGTTGTACATGCTGCTACCCTGTTCTATACGAGACATTCGCCAGCAACACCCAACACCAACACAAACCACAGGACCTAAGATGTCAGAACAACACCAAGGTGTTCCATGGCTAACATAGGCGTTCACGAACCCGAAAGTTACCTGTGGCGAGTCTTCCAAGGCATTCTCAAGAGGCAGCTTGTCAAACGACGCCATTGACATGAATCCGCCGGTACTTCGTTTCCTTGTAGCTTGCCAGTAGGCGGGCAAGACACTTAAAAAAAGACGGGAGGGAGTAGGTAAAGGAGGCTTCAGGGCTTAGGGGACAACAAGAAACTGGTAATATTTAGATCTGCTACCGTGTTGACAACTGTGATCATCAGCTGACAGCCGCGCTTCCTTCACATCCTCAACATGGGGGCTACCGTGATCATTTCTCCCAGTATAGGCAACAACTACCGCTTCTTAACTGTCTTAGTTAATACTAGAAAATTATTTATTATGCTTACATTTATTTCTCCTACTATAATCAGCAACCATAGTCTTAAAAAATCCTAAAATTTTGTTTATATTGATAAACCATCAGATGCACGAAATTATTTACTAGTTCCAGTGCATACAACGACCCTAAGCAGAATTATCTGATTTTATTTTGGATCCCTATTTTTATTCTGTTAACATTAAATGCACATAATAAAGGTTAACAGACAATTTTGAATTATTTCTGATTTAAATAACTAGCTGAGGAAAAAATAATCTATAATTTCTGCTTCATTAGTTTTAGTGAGCAAAATAGCAAATACATGTAGTTCCTGCGTCAAACATCTAAACTCCATTATCAATAAATTATTTAATATATTATAAAAAAGACATTAAATGTAAAGCGGCACCATTATAGGCCTATATAGTTTGCTAATGCTTAAGAACATATGGCTAGTTCTGCAAATATCAAATGCTCGCAGTTTTTACCGTATGCGAAGGAGCCAGCGGAAACCCCTCCCAAGTGTAATTTCACCTCACTTTATATGATTAATTCAGCCCCCGCAGCAATTATCTAAATAGCGCCTTCACAAAATACACCTGGTGACTCTTTTCGTCTGTAACAGTATATAGATGTATGTGAGAGACAGTCTACTGTTGCAGGTCGACATATATAATTGGCTACAATTATATACAGTATGCCAGTTTATACTACAATGCGGTAAAATAAAATTGGCTGCAATGAGGAGGGAACTGTCTGAGGTCCGGGACGGACATATTGTAGGCTGGGCGAGGGATAGGCCTAAGTTAAATGCTTTAAGAAATATAGCTTTTAACACCCCTGTCACCCCCAGTGCGACTTTCATGGCGTCGGAAATGAAATCGTGGACCTGTTGTCCGTAGAGTATTTACCGTTCTCCCACCGTTTACCCGCGCATGTTCACGATTTACTTTCTATATCAATTGGAATGTCTCTGTTCGAGGATGAAGGGGAGAAGGGGTAAGGAAGAAGGATTGGGGTGAGGGGGAAAATAAGAGGAAATAAAATTATCAAGAATAACATTAGATGCCAAATTGCTAATGCTTCAAGATATGACTCCCAGTATGTTATCTATTTGACATTTCGAAAATTTATAAATTTATGCTTTAGCCTAAGGTCTTACTAATTATGATCGACCACAGACTCACTCAATTTGTTTGTACCATTTATTAGTTATTTATTTTGTCATGATTGATTAATATTATTGCAGTAATTATTAGTCCAGTAACCAAAGTATTTATAGGATTGAAGGTATGTCCAAACTTATGCTGCATTGGCAGTGCTAATTGTGAGGTTAAGGTGAGGTGGGTGACTTGGGTTCGCACGTGTCTGGTTAGGTTAGGATTGTGGCTGATGATTCAGGACACAATTTTTATTATCAGTGTTGAATTATACAACATTTTTTTTTAAATTACCTTGATACGATAATAGAAGGTTGCCTCGGTGATTGGTTGCTGTTATCTACACCGTAAGTGTCGTAGCAAACAGGTTATTGACACGTGGGGACGGGAGAGCTCTTATCTACCTCCCCCGCCTCTTGTATAAGGCGATGAAGGTAGGGAAGGAGGAGCTTAAGTAGATCATAATAACTATACCTCCACTTCTCTCTCCCAATCTACACCTAATGCTCTCTGTTGCCATATATCGTCGCTTCTCATCCACTATGGCCCTCTCCTTATACACTATGGTCCTCTCCCCATCCACTATGGCCCTCTCCCCATCCACAATGGCCCTCTCCCCATCCACAATGGCCCTCTCCTCATCCACTATGGCCCTCTCCCCATCCACAATGGCCCTCTTCCCATCCCCCTCTTCTTCTCCATTGCAAGATGATGTGATTACCAGATGAGGGACAGTATTCCTGGCTTTTAGTTATAATGGGAATTTGCCTGGAATTGTTGTAGATTTTACAGCAGAGCTGTCAGCGATGTTGCAAGTAGCTGTGAAAGACAGCCACGCGTTGCAAGGTGGCAGCTTCAACACTTTCAATGGCATTAAAAGTACTCTTCAGGCCATATATAGAAGCTTATATATATATAACTCAATAGTAGACATCCCCTAATATTATACAAACTGTTAATGGCTTTTTATAGGTAAGGAATACAGATGCCAAATAAACTTCTGGTTGTCCGGTCAGTGTGTCAGGAATGAAACAGTTGATGAAGTTACTGGCGCAGCGATATGCCCCGGTAACAGGACACACTTAGAGACATCTATCTATCAAAGACTTGATAGACATGCAGGCGATGAGTCACAATAACGTGGCTGAAGAATGTTGACCAGACCACACACTAGAAGGTGAAGGAACGACGACGTTTCGGTCTGTCCTGGACCATTTTTTCAAGTCTCACAATCGACTTGAGAATGGTCCAGGACGGACCGAAACGTCGTCATCCCTTCACCTTCTAGTGTGTGGTCTGGTCAACTTGATAGACATATGCCACCTAAACATTTCCACAAAACAGCAGACAGCGCTGACCTCCGAGAGGACACACGTGCATCAAGTAATTGGCTTTTATGTGGAGGAATACGTCCCTCGTTCAACCATTATGGTGTGTGTCGAACTATCGAGAGGAGCTTGCTGGTGGAGTGCCCGGGCCACGATGAGGTAGACAAATATGCTTTATTACTTACTGGTTGGAAGATCGTAGAAATATATATTATCAACAATCCATGGGGGGAGGGGGGTGGTAGGGATCTATCAGGGGGAAAAGCGCCAAGTCATTTTGATTATATAGTACTTGGAAAAGGGGTCAGGATAAGGATATGGGATAGGACGCGGGGAAGGAATGGTGCCTGACCACTTGGACAGTCGGGGATTGAACGCCTACCTGCATGAAGCGAGACCGACGCTCTACCGTCCAGCCCAAGTGGTTGGGTGGAGGGAGAGATCTGGTATTCTTTAATGGGCTTCCCAGAGAGTGAAGTCATAACATTTGGTTGATAATTCCGTTCTCAGTAAAAGCGATAAGCCTGTACTTAGTCCCCCTCTTGACCAACCATACTTCCCCTGAATGTAACCCACAACTATTGCCTAAATCTCGCATACATATTTACTGCTAGATGAATAAGTACATATAAGTACAGGCTTTCCGGTGCATGAGTGGCTGAGAGAGAGAGGGAGAGGGAGAGAGAGAGGGAGGGAGAAGGAGGGAGGGAGGGAGAGGGAGAGGGAGGGAGGAAGGGAGACAGACAGACACAGACAGACAGACACACAGGAATGGTCATGATAATGATATGGCTGGATGTCTGTCCCCGCCCTAACTGCGTCCTGTTCGGACGCTGTCTTCAACCGTAGATAAGGGACGCACCTCAGCGATAACTGACCACTCTGTCTTGTGAGAAATGAGACAATTTTTTATTTCAATATCCAGGTTACCTTGGAGGGCTGGACGTTCATAGCGGGAAGATCCATTGTGTCTACTCTTCCCTCACACAAATCCGACGTGTCATTCTCGTCATCGACTGAGATTTCAGACGTACTCTCTGCGCCGTTCTTCAAGACGGATGCTGTTGTCCTATTCCCCTCTTCATCCTTAGGTCATAAAAGTATTTGTGTGTACGTCTGATACCATACTACTTGTGAGGGAGGAAATGTATATTTTTACCTCTCAGAATGTTTGGTAATGTGTTTATTTGTGATGTGTGTCTATGTATATATTAACACGTTGTACTGAATGGGGTGAGAATAGCTTGAGCTACCTCATCCCTTTGTGTGTATTTTACCTCAATAAACTTATTTCAATTTCAATTTCAATTTCAATTTCTCTTCATCCACCTCTCGCGTTCTATATAAAAACATCTTAGATTCGGTACCCCGCACAGGGGCACCCCTTTGGTTTAATGTTAAGAATTGTAATGGAATAGCGAGATTTCGTGAGGGGGTTACGAGATCAGAATATCTTCTAGTGGAAGTCGATAAGTCGGGAGGAAGAGAGACGAGAGTCAGTCCGTTCTCAGCGGCCGTGCTGACCACACGCAAGGTGAGAAGGATGTCTCTAGTCACAGGTAGTGTTAGCTACGTAGAGTATTATAGTTGCAGGCAGTATTATTAACAGCAGTAGAAAGAGACAACAGGAGTAACGGATAACATTAACAACAGGTAGCAGCGGTAACAGACAGCAGTAATAGACATCAGCTGTAACAGACAGCATTAGTAACAATTTGATCTCAAGTACCCGTGGCGTAGTGGTAAGACGCTCGCCTGGAGTTTCGCGAGCGCTTTGTCCTGGGGTTCGTATCCTGGCCGCAAATTCTTAACTGTAGCCTCTGTTTAACTCAACAGTAAAACGGGTACTTGGTTGTAAAAACTATTCTTCGCGGCGGGGATCGTATTCCAGGGACCTGCCCGAAACGCTACGCGTACTAGTGGCTGTACAAGAATGTAACAACTCTTGTATATATCTCAAAAAAAAAAATTAACGGTGTAACGGCACCAGGTCCCACAGCGTTTGTTTTCTCAAGAGCATGTAGTCCCTTGTATCTTTCTCTGTCGTCACTCTTGTACTCGGCTCAATCTCTGGAGGAACCTATCCACCCATATCAGGATGTTGTCTTAGCTCCCTTTTAAAGACTTCTCGGAACCTTGAATTTAACTCGTCACATTTCTCTATCATTTGTCGTACACATTCCGCTTCTCTTAACCGGGTTAATTGATCCTTAGCTTTGGAGGCTATATCTTTCGCATTACTCTGCCTCTTAACATCAAAATTATATATATTTTCCATTTAAGTTTACTGATTTGCAAGTTTGTTCTAGTTCCTGCTAGATTCCCACTAGGTACTACTATGTACTTTGTCATAGTAACTCTATAGATAAAGCAGCGTCTTGTTCATCCTGATCCGCTCTTCCGTTTTCGCTTTCAGTTCTACTTCAGATGGGGAAATACTGGGAATTATTATTTATTGTTTTTGTTAGGACATAGAAGGAAAGAAGAGTGGAGCGGGTGAGACGTTGGGGTGAATGGTAGAGTATGAGGAATGGAGCAGGACCGTAATGTATGTAATTAACTAAGTGTAATTAAGTAAGTGTGGTTACAGGATGAGAGCTACGCTCGTGGTGTCCCGTCTTCCCAATTGTCAAATTCAAGTTCAAGTATGTTTATTGAGATAAGCAAGAAATACATCTCAAAGGGATAGAGTAGCTTAGGCTATTTCTACCCCCCTATTGTCAAATAACGCTTTGAAACTACTGACGGTTTTGCCCTTTACCACCTTCTATCTCACACACACACACATATACGTAACAAGTGTGTGTGTGTGTGTGTGTGTGTGTGTGTGTGTGTGTGTGTGTGTGTGTGTGTGTGTGTGTGTGTGTGTGTGTGTGTGTGTGTGTGTCCCTGTTGCCTGAAGCTCAAGCTACTTAAGGGTCTGATGACTTTTCACTGATAGGCACAATTAAGCCTTATCATCCTCCCTAGTTAATGAAGCCACCATAAGTTTACTGATCAACCAGCGAGTGTACTTTAATCCTGAACACTGTCAAGGACTAACGTAAACTTTCAGTGTTCATACACTGACAAGCAGGGAATATCACTAGATATATATATATATATATATATATATATATATATATATATATATATATATATATATATATATATATATATATATATATATATATATATACGCTGTGCTGTTGACTTTTCTTGCATAATAATATGTTTGATGCCTAGTCGTATATATCCCGTGTTGTTGATGCCAAGGTGTCAATGAGTCAGATGAGTCAGCATATGTATATCTATATCAGATATAGATATACATCTGACCCCATGAGTCAGATATAGATAAAAAAACAGTTGTATAGAACAGTGTGGTGGAGGTAAACACACATCATCATCATGGCCACTGACCACAGATACCCCTCACTTGAATGATCGTCATCTTGAAGACAAAGATAACAATGAGTGGTTCATTTTCTGATAGTCACTGAGCAATTCTAGTTCTAGTAACTGCAGTTCTGTTTCCAGCCGAGACATGCTATATAGTGACTAGAAATCTATAAGTACAACACCTCATCAGGGTAAACAGGAGTCCGTTTCACAGGCTTAAGCGGAAATTGGGTAGTTATTCTCGTCAAAGCGGGAAATGGGTAGTTATTCTCGTCAAAGCGGAGACTTGGTTTAACGATGGGGATATTATTAAGGTGCTAAAGACATCAACACAACATAGAACACGAAACAGTGGACAGAATTTGAGTGAGTTTTAGGTTGAGGAGAGACCTGTGTGAATGTTGAAAATTTGAAAGTTGAATTATATGATAAGTGTAAACAAAATTATATAAATATTGAATCTATTGAAAATTATTGATTAGAAAGTAGGGTGATTGGTCTATTGAACAAATTACCGGACAACTTAATAAAGGTCCTGGTAGTACAATCGGATTCGTTCTCGACTCACAATCGGGAATTCAGAGTTCCAATCCCCGGGCGGGACAGAAATGACTGGGCCCGTTCCCTATCACCTAATGCATCTGTTCACCTAGCAGTAAATAGGTACCCAGGAGTTACTCAGCTTGTTGTGTGGTTGTATCCTTGGGGGAGGGGGTGCCATTAGTTCAACCTCGTCGAGAGGGACCTCGATATAAACCTATGTACATTGTATATACATCTAACATGTATATACATTGACTGCCTGCCCCTGACACAATGAATTATTATTATGGAAATGGAATCACTTGTTTCAAGCGTAGGTTAGACATCTGTGTATGCGTTTGGGTGGATATATAACTAACTGCCTCGTATGGGCCAGTAGGTATAGGTCTTTGTCTTCAAATTCAAATTCAAAATTCTTCTTAAATAGTCAAGGGTAGAGACTAGGCCAGCTATATAGGCTGTCATTCTCGCCAAGTTATAGATAAATACTATGAATTTAGATTTGGTGTTAGGGTTAAGGCCTATCAAGCCACGAGGATCATTAAGTATTCTGATCAACCTCCGGATTTATATTAGTCCTCGATATACTTCACTCTCTGAACACTCTACGGTATTTACACCGAACATTTAAGGGGACTTAGGTGTATATATATTCCTTGGTATATAAACATAGTTATTGTATTCCATTCTATTTCATATCTATTTGGCAGTGATGGGGGTATTGACGTCCATGTGTGTATGTACATGGTTGTCACGTGTGTATGTATGTATGTACGCATCCAACCCTCCCCCCCCTCCTCCTCTCCCCGCCCTTGCAACTATTGAACGTAATACACAGCTTTTACTTTTATATATCAGTTTCGGGGAAATTTCAGACAACATAGAATGATTTAAATATAAAGGAAATTTTGTTATTAAAGATTCTTTGGTTAAGATTTCTGACTGCTCCTAACTCCACAAAGTTTTTCAAATGTGGCTGATGTTGGTGTGTTGTTATTGTGCTGTTGTTGTTTAAGATTCAGCTACTGGGAACAAAAAGTTCCAAGTAGCACGGGTTATGGCGAGCCCGTGGTGGACTTACCTGGCACAGGAGTGGGACTGTGTGACAGGTATATGTGTGTGTGTGTGTGTGTGTGACAGGTATGTGTGTGTGTGTGTGTGTGTGTGTGTGTGTGTGTGTGTGTGTGTGTGTGTGTGTGTGTGTGTGTGTGTGTGTGTGTGTGTGTGTGTGTGTGACAAATCACTGTTCTAACACGCCATGTCTGTCCCCCTGCAGGTTGTCAGAGGTCCTGCTGGAGTTCAAGAAGATGAGATACCTCAGTGTGTATCCGTTGGTGGCGTTGTTCGTCCTGCTGGCAGTCATCACGGATGCCAAGCCCTTATTTGCCAAGAGGTACAAGAAGACCACGAAGGAAGGTATGTAGTCGACTCACTAGGAAGTGTGTACATACATTAATGATAACCACAAAAGGGTCATAGAGAAGGGTTTTACGTCAAGCGGACGTTACGTGGCAAAGAGAGACACCACGGACGTAAGTAGCTCTCATCCTGTAACTACACTTAGGTAATTACACTTAGGTAATTACGCACATAAACACACACACACACACACACACACATTCATAATCATTGACAGTTGAGAGGCGAGACCAAAGTGCCAAAGCTCAACCCCCCCATGCACAATTAGGTGACTACAACTAGATGAGTGCGCACACACACACACACACATGCAAACAGGGGCCTCGCGGCTGAGTGGACAGCGCTCGGGTGTCGTAGTTCTAAGAGCCCGGGTTCGATTCCCGGTCGAGACAGTAACAAATGGGCAGAGTTTCTTTAATCTGATCTCACTGTTGACGTATATTAAACAAATATACCTGGGGGTTAAACAGGTACTTGGGGGCTGCATCCTGGGTGCATATATCTGTTAGAAAGAAGTATATGTAGATATACTTTATGTATATCTATGTATATATGTATATATGTATATATGTATATATGATAGAGGAAAAATAAGTCTCGAGTCAGTATATTCGACAACCACTGGTTAGGAATGCGGGGTCCAAGAGCTAAGAGGCAGGGCAAAGAGATACTGTTTGAGGAAAGACAAATTGGCTGTCGGGTAATCAATACATCAAACTTATCTCTAATCGCACACACACACTCTGACTAACATCAGCAGCATATGCAAGTCTGGCAGTAGAAACGACTACCCTGATTGATATAAAAAAAGCAATATGATATTAATAATGGTGTGCTTAGTACTATACTTATGGTTTCCAGGATTTACCTAAATTTAGCATTTATCTAGTAACCTCGACAGAGACAGGAACTCGGCGGCTTGTCAGAAGTCACCATAATTTTCCTCGTTTTCTTTTCTAACTAAATTTTGAGCTAAAGTAACACACAAACATGAGTCAGAAATCAACAGTTCTTTTACTCACGTGAGTAAAAACAGAGATATCTCATCAGAAGACAACCTCTTGCTCTCAAATGATAAGAAAACTGTGTCGGAATTAATTATTGATCATGGACGTCTGATACTTAGAGCAGGGGTCCCTCCTGCCCATATTTAACGCTTTCCAGGAAAAGAAAACCACTTCTGCCCTTGAGCCAAAAATAAAGTCCACTACGGGCTCACCATAGCCCGTGCTACTTATGGAACTTTTTGTTCTAGGTAGCGAATCTTAAACAACAACAACAACAGCCCTTGAGCCAATGGAACGTTCCCCCTCCCCCCACTAACTCCCTCTACCCAGTGCAAGAAATACCCTTGTTCCTGCCCCAAATTAGAAGAAAAATCCTTATCTCCTCGACCCCTGTGTGAAGAAAAAAAGAGTTATCGCCACAAACTAGTTAAATAAAATCGCCCGCACTCAGTAGGAAAAAATCCACTCTATCAGATGTGTGTGTGTGTGTGTGTGTGTGTGTGTGTGTGTGTGTGTGTGTGTGTGTGTGTGTGTGTGTGTGTGTGTGTATATATATATATATATATATATATATATATATATATATATATATATATATATATATATTATTTTTTTTATAGTGCCACTTACGACACCCACACCGAGATATGTGTATTGGGCACGGTTTTCAATGTGTAATTTTTTTACTTAAAAATCCGGGAAACCACTTGGTTTTAGTGTCTATAATGTCCTAACTTTCTTTATATGTATATAATGCCCCAGTTTTTTTTTCTACGGGTATACTCTAGTTTTTTTCCTACGAAAACGATAAGGCCCCATTTTATACTTATAGTGGAGAGATCAAGGAGAACTTGTTGAAGATTTTTACGTTATCAACGATTCAGATATCAGCCGACAGCCTCATCAGCTGGAGTGGGCGTATCAGCTATTAGTCTGCGCATGAAAATGTTAAAAAAAAAAAAACGTGTAAGGGTGAGTTCTCCGTGTTACAGGAGCTGATGATCGACGTTATGAACGTGTCGTTATGTCGTAAACAAGGATAGTTTCTAATGCAAGTTTGATAGGTTGAGGATATCACTGGGTGTCTTTCTGCGTCTTAGCGAGTACAGTGTGTGTGTGTGTGTGTGTGTGTGTGTGTGTGTGTGTGTGTGTGTGTGTGTGTGTGTGTGTGTGTGTGTGTGTGTGTGTGTGTGTGTGTGTGTGTGTGTGTGTGTGTGTGTGTGTGTGTGTGTGTGTGTGTGTGTGTGTGTGTGTGTGTGTGTGTGTGTGTGTGTGTGTGTGTGTGTGTGTGTGTGTGTACTGTGTGTGTGTGTATGTCATGTGTGTGTGTGTGTTGCGGGGTGTGTGAACTTTGGCTCTTTGGTGTGTGTGTGTGTGTGTGTGAGTGTGTGTGTGTCAATCAACTGGTGTGTGATTCCTGAGCCTACTGGTGCGTGTATCAGTAGTGTGTGTGTGTGTGTGTGTGTGTGTGTGTGTGTGTGTGTGTGTGTGTGTGTGTGTGTGTGTGTGTCTACATATGCCAAAAAGTATACTCGAAACCCACGAATTCTTTTCATAGAAAAAAAATAATAATCGCATGACATTAACTGGTTACGAAACTCATGTTATTAATCTCATCTCTCCCACACCTTCGTTAAATCTATCCTTGCATCTTTATCTATACTTCTCACGTTATTCCCCAGTATCTTTCTCGTCATCTCTTATAGCATCTTTCTCGTCGTCCCTTATAGCATCTTTCTCGTCGTCTCTTATAGCATCTTTCTCGTCGTCTCTTATAGCATCTTTCTCGTCGTCTCTTATAGCATCTTTCTCGTCGTCTCTTATAGCATCTTTCTCGTCGTCCCTTATAGCATCTTTCTCGTCGTCTCTTATAGCATCTTTCTCGTCGTCTCTTATAGCATCTTTCTCGTCGTCTCTTATAGCATCATGTCGTCTCACTTTAGCAATCTCAACATTTTCTCATTCTTGCTCCCTCACATAGACCAGAAGTTCTGGAGAGAAAAAGCTCAGGCTGAGCTTGAAAAAACGCTGAAAGTCAAGCTGAACGAGAATGTAGCCAAGAATGTGATCTTGTTCCTGGGAGATGGAATGAGCATCCCAACCCTGACAGCCTCCAGAATCTACAAGGGCCAGCTCCAAAAGATGGGAGGCGAGGAAGGCTTTCTCTCATTCGAAAATTTCCCGCATGTCGGACTATCTAAGGTATGGATGTATTTTCATTCAAAATCCGTCATTACTTTTGGTAGTATATTGAGTTTAACAATTCCTCTGTCTTGTCTATCTCCTCTGTCTGGCTGCCCCTCTCTCTCTCTCTCTCTCTCTCTCTCTCTCTCTCTCTCTCTCTCTCTCTCTCTCTCTCTCTCAGCAGCTTTTAACAAGACGCAGGTGTCTAGTAAGTAGTTATAATTTTTTTTATTTTGATTGTTGCCGCCGGAGGCGGCTAGTTTATTGTGCACCCCATACTCATCCTGTGAGCGGTAGCGCAAAAAGCATTACAGAGGGCACAAAAGGTCTTTATCAGACTTCCTCTTAGATTATTACATAAACAATTTCATCTACCCTTCACACCTTAGAGTTACATGTCAGCTAGTTACAATGTTCTATTTCAAGAGCTATATATTTACAGTAAGTCATGATACATTACTGGCAGGTCTTATCGCTAATACATCATTGAGTTATCAAAAGAAGGCAGCGAGCCGGGGAGACCGTGTAACACCGCTGTTAAGAACGCGATATCTTAACATCTTATTGCGATATCTTAACATCTTAACATCTTCCTATCTTATTTGTATCTTCTTATTGTCAACTCTTGAGTATATTTATCTAAATTTATCGAAGGAGCCACCATGTCTCTAACGCCCTTCACGAGGACAGAAAGCCGGCGGCGTGTCAAAGGGCATGACAGAGCATATCACAACTATCACATATCTGCCCGAAACGCAGCGCGTACTAGTGGCTTTACAAGATTGTAAATACTATGCTATGTATTCTCACAAACCCAATGTACCTTCTTGTATATAAATAAATAAACTACCAAACCAACAACATTAGCCTACAGTAGATTAGTGAAGAATAGGACCTTGGAGTCAAAATATCATTGACATTTTCACAACAAGTGGGAGCTGCAGTAAAAATAATAATAATAATAAAAAGCTAACCAAACTCTAAGAATTGTCAAACTAATCTTTGGCGTAAAGGAAAAGAAGATAGTTATTCAATTGTACTAATCTCTCGGCGCCCCGTGAGGACTATTGTATACAGTCATGGAGACCATCTTGAGAAGGACATATCTGCTTTGGAGAGAGTTTAGCACCGGGCGACTAAAAAGCATCAGAGAACTAATTCGTTTCTCATACCAGGAACAGGTGAAGGCCATGAGACTGCAAACCAGACATGAAACGGTTGATCTCATCGATATTTTTAAGACGCTGAACAATTTGTACTCGGACCACTTCTTTAAAAGCTGCTATATTTTACCATTGTTGTGGAAAATTAATCCTTATACGACTGTCAACCATCACCTGACAGCCTCTGACCTGTTCAGACATTATCTCTAACTGTGAAATAGATAATACAATATCACTAATGACCCCCTCAGGTAACCTTGTCCACAAGTCTTGTGGCAAAATGTAACTTTTGTGTGAATAACTAAAGTCAGAAGCAGATTTAAATTCATTTTCTTACCTCTCAGGCACTATAGGGCACTGACCAGCTGTAAGGGCATACCCTAAAATTAAACTAATCACGAGGAAAATAAACAGTTAATAATGATACAAAAATACAATACATACTCAGTGCTATTCCATAACTTGGCTCTTGTTTTCCCATGCTTTGTTCCAGACGTACGACGTGGATAAACAAGTAGCGGACAGCGCCAGCACTGCCACGGCCTACCTGACGGGCGTCAAGACCAATTACAAGACTATTGGTGTGGACGCGACCGCCATCTACCAGGACTGTTCCAGCATCACCGAAGACAACAAGGTGTACTCCATCGTCAAGTGGGCTCAGGACGCTGGCAAGAGAACTGGTAATAAGAAGCAGACCTACACGCAGACACACACACGCAGACAATCTCCAGACGAAATACAATGACTTAAAATGTAGTGACTTGTCCTCTAGTTTGTATGCACCGATATTTAATGTGCATGACAAGTACACAAAAATTACTTTCCATTTTCCGGATAAGACTTCAAAATTAATATTTTTGATTATAAACCTTGGTTGATTAGTTAGTTTGGTTAGGTTGATTTAGGCAGAACAACCCGTCCTCGACTCAAGTCCATTGCATCCAGCGGTCGACCCCACAGACTTTCATTTTCACATACTGTTCATTTAAAACGGGAATGTTCTCAAATATAAATTAATATTATAATATATTAGCATATTGTGCATATATATATGCCTAGGTTAGGTGTTTAGGTTCTGTTGGCGATTATTTGTATTTGTAGTACGTGGGTGAAGCATTTACAGTGTTGTGGTTCGAACGGAATTCGTCAGAGAAGCAATTGTTTCGATAGTGTTCGGACGTCATCAGTTGTGAGTCGTGTGTAAACCGTTTTTTATTCATAAACAGGGGGGTTTTGTGGGTGCATGGAATCACTTTTGGGTCTTAGCTTGGAGGACGGGCTGGGCGCTGGATGTAATGGACTTGAGTCGAGGACGGGTTGGCCTGAGGACAGGTTGGTGAGTCTGTGTAAAGTGTTTTTCATTAATGAGCATTTGGTCTTTATTTCAAGTATATATTTGGACTTCACCTTGCCCCAGGTGATTTTTAGCACCTAGGTGATCTTGACCTCAGGTGTGGTGACGTCAACACGAGTGACACACGCGACCCCGGCCGGGACTTACGCTCACGTGACGGACCGCGACTGGGAGTGTGACGGAGCCATCAGTGCGGAAAACCAGAAGAAATGCCCCAAACTGAAGGATATTGCCAGGCAGCTGGTGGAAGACGAGCCAGGCGCCTCCATCAATGTGAGTGTTGGAGAAGATGTGGGTGAAGGAGAAGGCGGTCGTGATGGTGAGAGAGAGAGAGAGAGAGAGAGAGAGAGAGAGAGAGAGAGAGAGAGAGAGAGAGAGAGAGAGAGAGAGAGAGAGAGAGAGAGAGAGAGAGAGAGAGAGAGAGAGAGAGAGAGAGAGAGAGAGAGAGAGAGAGAGAGAGAGAGAGAGAGAGAGAGAGAGAGAGAGAGATTCTTACATAATGCGAGTGAGAAGAGTGAGTGGGCATGAATATTTATTTTTGGGTTTCCATTGTTGGGGACAGAAAGATTATAGGCTTATTGAGGTTTCCCTAGTCTAGAACAATGATTGACTTCCCTAAGCTGCAATCCACAACAGTCGTCCAACTCCCAACTCCTACAAAGTTCGTTAAGGCCGGAACGGTGCTGTTGACGGATAACCGGGCTCGGGATGAGGACGCTCGATCTACTCGACGCTGCCGGATAGATACTCGAGAGTTAGACAACTGCTGTGGTTCGAATCCTGGGAATAGGTCGGTAGTTGGCCTATAGGGAGGAGAGGACGGGGGATGGAGGGGGTCTTGATAAACTTAACAGACTCTCTGTTCTCAACAAGAGCCAGGGAGTCCTCTGTTGGAGACTCCCTGTTGGTCTGCCCCTGACGGCAAACGATTAGGTGAACTAAACTGGTGTCAGTGTGGCGGTACAGGACTTATATAAACGCTGCTCCAGCCATCCTGCTGTATAATTCAATTTCAATTTAACATTTTTCAATCAAAAGAATGTGTGTACAAAGAACATAGGAGTTATGTACATAGGAGTAATGAATTATGGAAATCTTGACATTATTTAATCTGCCGCAGGTGGTGATGGGGGGCGGGTACCAGAACTTCGACGCCAACGCCACAGGTACCCCCGACGACCCTATTGACACCCAGTATGGTAACTGCAGCAGGAGGGACAACAAGAATCTCATCGATACGTGGAAGGCGAAGAAAACTGAAGCGAAAGTGAAATACCAGTTTGTCAGGAATAAGACGGACTTGGACAAGGTTGACTTCATCAACACCCAGTTTCTGCTCGGTGAGTTGGGAAATATGAAGTGGAGGAGGGAAGAGACACAGAGAGAGAAGAGAGAGAAGATTAAGCCACCCAAAAGGTGGCATGGGCATGAATAGCCCATAAGTGGTGGCCCTTTTGAGCCATTTCCAGTATCAATAGATGATACTGGAAATCTGTGGAGGTGCGACTGCACCCAGCGTGACGGGAGATGTCTCCCGTGTACACGAACCCGAAGTTTCTTCTTTATATAAGTGTCTGATGCAACATATCACCTTTAAAGGGGAACAAATGTTTTGGAAAAAATTACAAACAATTATCCCAGAACTAAGTCAACTCTCAATCCAAGAAAGACTGAGGACCTTAGAACGAGCAGCGCAACAAATCAAGGCTGATCTCATTGAAATCCTGAACCTACTGAACAAATTGGAAGATAAATATATTTGAATTTACCTGACGGCCATCATCTCTCGTGGCCTCGACGGAGGACGCCCTTTTGGGTGGCTTAATCTTCATCAATGAATCAATCAATCGGTTCGTGTAGTTTATTGTCATTTATTGGGAGAGGAGAGAGGCTCTATTCTGTTCTCCTATTTTATCTTCCTTCGAATCTCAACCACCCTCTCTCTCTACTTTCTCCCCCTCCCACAGGAATCTTCGCCAACGGACATGTGCCTTACGAATACGAGAAGAAAAGCAAGAATCTGGATGTGCCTACCCTGGCACAGATGACTGAAGCTGCTATCAAGATCCTTCGGCAGGAGCCCAAAGGATATTTCCTATTAGTAGGTTCTCTCCCTGTCTTTCTCTCTCTCTCACACACACACACCTAGTTATACTTGCAGGGGTTGAGCTTCAGCCCTTAGGTCCTTTTAACAACTGGGATACAAGTTCCAGAGCCTATTGGGGTTCTATCATATCTACATATGAAACTGTATGGAGTCTGTTTCAATCCCATTACTTCCTAGTGCAATCCATTTGTTAACTACCCTGACACTGAAAATGCTTTCCAATATCTATGTGACTCTCACCTTTGCTTGCGGGGGTTGAGGTGCTAAGTTTGGTTACCTGTGTCCCCCCATGTTGATGTACCACCCGTGTGCGTGCGCATTCGTTCGTTCGTGCATGCTTGTGTGAGTGTATTTACAACTTTCCTATCTGTTTCTTGCCCCTCTCCTGACCTGACCTGACCTCGCTTCGCAGGTGGAGGGTGGACGCATTGACCACGCCCACCACGACGGCATAGCCCACCGTGCCCTCGATGAGACAGTGGCGATGGATGAAGCTGTCGAAAAAGCTCTGAATCTTACTAACGAAGAGGTTCGTGATGGATTTTTGTGTGTGTGTGGGGTGGGGGGTGGAGGAGGGGGAGAGAGAGAGATAGAGAGATATATAGAGAGGGAGGAGGAGGGGAGGGTGGTAACAAAGAGAGAGACAGCAGCTTCTCACTCGTACTTATCATATCTATCGAGATCTTACCCAATATTTTCTTATATTCTTACCCGTATTTATCCAACAGTAAACTGGGTATCTGGTTGTTAAACGATTTGACGGGCTCGTATTCCTGGGAACATTAGGATTGAGGACTTGCCCGAAATGTAGAATGAAAAATAAATAGATGTAAAGACATCTATTTATCACCATCTATCAAGAAGGTAGAATATATACTTCCTGGTTATAAAGAAGAAAACCCCACTTCAGCTGACAATCATTGGTAAAAAAATTAATTCTCTCGCTGTAACAACAACAAAATATTTAATTTGTTTACCATAATCAGCAACAGTATGGCTGCCTACTTTATGAGTAGCTATTACATCACAAGACGTTCAGTTGTCTGGTAGTCGGACTGTACCTTTCTCGAGAACATTTAATCCAACAGTTATCATTCATCATTTGCCTAACTTGTGTAACGGTTCTATTGTTACGTAAAGTATGGTGACAAATAAACACAGACACTAAGATACTATATATATATTTGGTCGAATATACAGAAGTACACAGGTGATACGTTGGTGTGAGTTGAGCGCACTGAGCGTTGGTACAGTATCTCGCAAGTGTCTGCTCTAGACCACACTTGAAAGTAGACTCTGGTTAATGTTTGCTATTGCTGCTTATATGCCCGGGCAACGCCTCACCTCATTCATCTTCAAAGGTTGACAGGAATATTAACAAAGCATTTAGAGCGAGTATATTATTGGGATAATCTACTCGCTACACTTGCAATTGAAACATTTTGTTACAACAGGTAAGAATAGTAAAAAAAAAAGAAAAATAGGTCTAAAATAGTAAAAAAAAAAGGTATAAAGAGTTGGCTTTTAGATAACACCAGCTACACCCTCTAATTAATATGAAGCCAAGCACCAGATATGGCATACAATTATTAAGAAAATCGTAACCGATAAATATCTAAGGGCCAGGTTTCAAAATAAAAAGGCATAACAGTCTTCTTGACTTGCAGAATCTATACTGAAATATGAATGAGAACCATAATGAATAAAAGAAACCTAATTAGTGATTAAAAAGACATTCACAATGTAATTCCTTCGTCCACACTTGACAGGATACGCTGATCGTAGTGACGGCCGACCACGCCCATACCATGTCTATCAGCGGATACCCTTTACGAGGTCAAGAAATCACCGGTAAGGGTTCTCAACTTGGTAATCCTTGTCAGAAAGATCATTTTGCATCCATCGTCAGCTAGGAAAGGTGAGGCGGGTATATCCCTTTAATGTACAGGGCTGGAAATGAATATTACTTACGTCGAGATGAACAAAGTAAAGTGAACTCAGGTAAACTTTATACATTTGCACATAAACATCCTTTCGCAAATACGTGTACCTGTTATGTTGTTAAGATGTATGGGCGTCTTCAGGTTTGGCTGCCGAAGGTGATGATGGTTTACCCTACACAACCCTCATGTATGCTAATGGGCCTGGCTACAACTACTCTGTGGACGGGTCGCACGTAGAACATCCCCTACTGAGTAACCAGTCTGTCAGCACTTGGAACTACAAGCAGCTGGCTGCCATTCCTCTAGATTCAGAGACCCACGGAGGCGACGACGTAGCCATCTATGCTCTGGGTTCGTAGTTTACCCCCTTTCCTTGTTAGTTGTTAAACTACTAATTTACAAACAGCAATCGGTTGCTTCGGTCTACGGATAAACAAATACGCACTTGATCATTTGATATTATTGTAGTGACGAATTTGCTTATTCTTAGGAAGTGATAATTTGTGAATGTTTATAACTTGTGCTAGGAAACTTAATTAGCAAACAGATAATGATCATCAAAACTTGTTCACTGTTGCAGGTCCCATGGCGCATCTATTCCATACCTTGCACGAGCAAAATTACATTGCTCATGCCATGGCCTATGCAGCCTGCATCGGAGACAACACCAAACATTGTACAGACGGTGCCAACAGCATGATTCCCTCAGCCTCTCTGTCCGTCTTCCTACTTCCCCTCCTTTCTGCTCTTTGGTTCCACTATTAAAGTTTCTCCTCTAAGAAATGTTGATATCAAACTTGAAGCACCTATAGTAGGTAATTATCAAAAGAGGGCACCAAGCCTATGTAGCGTGAATCACCAATAGCACCATTCATTTATATCTGGCTTCCCACCTCAGATGGAAAGAATATATTTATATATATAATATATAATGCACACACACACACACCGAGGGGGTGGGTACTCGGCAGTGCCCGGGATAGTCTGTCTTTTCCCTGGCCCCCAATTCACTCCACTTCTTTCCCCACTCCTTACATTCTCCATCTTACCACCCCCTGCCCCCTTTCCACCTTTGAACAGTCAGACATTTTCCTTTTCTTCTCATCCCCCTCATATTCCCTTGGCCCCCTTCTCATCTCCATCCCATCAGTCCCCAACTTTGTCCTTCCCTTTGTTCTTATCCGGCCTTTCCCCTGGTCTCTCCCAACCTCTATCCACTCTGCTTCCCCCATCTTTCCCTTAGCCCCCCTCCTCAGGATCTCTCTCTATTGGATTGCTATTCTTCTCTTCCTTCTCTCAGAATGTGCAGAGAGGGTGAGCAGCCCTGTTAAACTCCATGTTTACCATGTCACATGCCATATTTACACTTGACTCCTTGAAGGACTCCATGAAAATGGCCTAGGAGTGTTTAGAATTGCTAATATTTCTTAAAGCATTTAACTTAGGCGTATCCCATCCAGCCTATATACATCCCATACCCCAGACCACTCCCCATGCAAATTATCATGGGAAAAAGACAAGTCATTACAATTATACAGAACTTAGAAGGGGTCAGGATAAGGATTTAGGATGGGATCGGGAAAAGGAACGGTGTCCAAACACTTGGACGGTTAGGGATAGATCGCCGACCCGTGGGAAGCGAGACCGTCGCTCTACCATCCAGTCCACGTGGTTGGTGTGTACAACCATGAACATGACATGATTGCAAACTATTTAGAGCTGGTAAGGAGGATAGGGAGTTTGAGATAATAAAGCTGTTAACTGCAGTTATCATTAATTTTGAGCTAACATGAATAACCAACAGTTCAACTTATGATATAGAGCAAACATAGCCTGCACTTTGCAGTAGCTGAATTGAGAAAACCCTGCAGTGGGCATATGTTGGGCAAACGACATTGATTCGATGGTGAATCAAAGCCGATAAAAGTTGAATCAACATTAATGAAACATGTTTTGCCTGCTTGGAACTGTCAGTGTATATGGTCTTTTTAATGTTTTTATGTTTGCATTTTTTTGTAACGCCACTCAATTTAGTAGCAAGCCAAGTATGATTGTCGAGTATGATTAGTTTCCTGGTGGGAAATGTAATATTAATATTTTATTTATAAGACATGCAAAGGATCAAATTACAGTGGTTACTTAGTAGGCACAGTCATTGTATATTTGATAAAACCACTAATTATGCAAAATACTTTTGGGTATAACTTAAAATAATGCATGAATTTAGTTCAATTTATAATAATATTTAATACTAAATGAGAAGTTAGCTAATGTATGTGAAATGTTAAAGAAATAAGTAAATGTATTACATTCATTCTCAAACAAGTAATTATTTCCTCCTTGTTTTAAGCTCAAGGAGGAGAGTAATACCGGTACTGTAGTCCACAAAACAACAGGAGGCAAAAGATCAATACCATACTGATGGTACACAAACTATTCAACAGTTTGATGAGAGAATAAAAAAACGTATTTGTAGCACAGGAATACATATGTTCTAAAAGATTCAATTTAATCCCAATAAATTTGTGCTTTATTTATTACCTTTCATAAACAAACTACAATAGTGAATAAAATTGTTAAAACTTACAATATACATTTTCTTAATTGGTCTTTCACATACAAGCCTTAGAATCAAAATATATGTTAATAAAATCTAAATAAAAGTCTCATAATGATCATAAACAATAACAGCTTTTATAAACACAACTTCAAATATGTTACAAAGAAAAAGATAAATATATATTAAATAACAATGCATTCACCACTAAATGTGAAGTGTCACATATACCTGCTTCTGCATGCACTATACACAAATAATGATATGAAACTATGAGAACAACTGTTTATATTCCCAGATTGTGTCCCTTTTCAATTTACAAGATGCATACATATGCCATTTCTGTCTACAAGTGCCAGCTTATCCTGCTAGTGTCAAATTCCCACTAGAAAGTGAAACTACATAAGAAAATATTCTGTATTATGTTTAACAGTACAAACAAATGTCAAGTTACTTGCTTATCTGCATTATGCTAAGCAAATGCAACTTGCCATTTACAACACATCCTCAAGCTTAAAATATCATGGTATAATGCTAAGTTTTCTCCTAAAACCTGTTCCCATTACTAAACATAAATCATCAGTAATGCTTCATCAGCTTCACATGCTGGTTTGATCTTAACTCTGTATGCCAAAAAAAACCAATCCTGAGATAAGTGAGAATTGTAACCCTCCTCTTGGCGAATTGAGCACTGTGGGGAATTTTGTCATCAACATTTAGTTTGAACATGATTTAGTGACCAGGATTCTGACAATAGCAGAATTGTGATGAGAATTAATGATGTGAATTAGCAGTGTGAGGAGTAATGTTGGTGAGGGAGGGAGGGAGAGCTGGCGTCGGCTGCTGGCTGGTGTGTGGCCACATGTTATTGTCTGGAATCACCATACCAGCTTAGTGGTTCACTATTGTGAACACAAATGTAGATACTTATATATAATGCGTGTATAGTGTGTATTAAGAGCAAAAAGAGTTTGTTGGGACGAGCCCCTTTTGGTGAGAGGTGAGGTAGTCGTCTGCTGTATGACTTGTCATGCAGTGGCCACTATGCTGTTTGGACACCATACCAACTTACTTGTACAGTTATGGTGAATAAAACATGTAGATACTTATATATAATGTGTGTGTGTATATAGTGTAATAACACCACAAACAGTATTATGGGAGGTTGGTGAGTTAGGTGTTGAAGGAATGAGGGAGGGCGGGCTGGGTGTGGCAGCCCACTCTTCTTTTTTGGGCTTACCATATCAACTTAGTGGTTCGCTATGGTGAACACACATGTAGATAGGTACAGTATATACAATGTGTGTATATAGTGTAATAACAGCAAAAAACACTGTTTGATTGATCGTAGAATATAATATATATAAGTCACATACATGAGCCCCATAATTTTGAGCATAGTGATGTTCCATACATTGAACTATATAAATTCTACAAATTACACACTTTTGAATAATATTACAGCATAAAACCAGAGAGGAAATGAATGAGAAACATTAAAATAGTTGTGAAACATTATATTTGCGGCAACTGCCAACCCACGGGGTGGCAGGGCCTAGTGACCTTGAGCACTCCATTGCTAAGCGCCCATAATATGCTAAACTTCCCAACTCCATTGCGGCTAAAGTATGTAACATACAATATTTTTTTTTTTGTTTCCCTGTGATCAGAGACTGCATTTTAACAATATAAGAGAAAATAATTTTTTGGAAAGAATTGATTTTCGGCGCACCACAGGTGTGTCGTATTTTAATGCAGAGCAGAGCAGTGGTTAATGGAGAAACATCAGCGAGATAGCTTCCAGAAATCATTGGGACTCTACCCTGAAGCATTTCATGACAATCAACACTTTTTTTTTATGCTTGGAGAGCTTTTAAACTTTATTTCTTTCTTGGATATAAATATATCTGGGTTCCAAACATGGTTTGGAACAAAATATTATCAAAAACTGATTGACAGCGAAAAGCAGCAGTATTACAATGATGTAAAGAATACTACAAAGAACCAGTGCACTGTGATTAATTTCTGAGATGAAAACGTGCAAGTAATAAATGGATGAAGAGGAGGGAAAATGAAAACAATGTAGAATGTTAGTGAGGGAACCAGAATACTAAGAGCATATGGGCATGACAATATTTCTAAAGAAATGTAAAGAATCAATGTCAACATATAAAGAAAATTTTCTATAATTGAAAACAAGGAGTCACCATCTTTTGTGACCTCAATAGGGACAGGAAGCTGGTGACTTTTCAAAGGTTCCCCGATTATTCCAAGGATTTTTCCAGCTGAACTTTGACCTATTATTAATGTGGTCTGAATTAATATCTTTCAATTTGCCCCCAAATACATTATTTTAATATTTGCTCATTTAGAATAAAACCAAGATATAAACAATTTCACAAACAACTTATAAGAAAAGAATATACTGTATATATATATGGCATTTCAACTATTCTTCTGTTAAAATAAATGAATTCTAAAAATAATATATCCCTAAACCTAAAAAATCACAAAGAAATATTCTCATTAAGAGATTTCATTGCAAATAATTGTATAAATCATCATTCAAATAAAAAGACAGAATCCAGGGCACCAAGACCTGCTGCCACGCCACCCTCATTAACAGATGAAAGCTTTGTACGTAACATGTGCCCAGCGTATTTGTTGATTAGTATTTCCTTTGCCGTTCTGGAATAAAAAAAAAAGATATCATATTAATACCAGAGACTGTGGATAACATGAGCACTATTCACACTATAAATATCCATTATTAACACCACATTACATTTGTTCAAATTTACTCCCAACATCCTTACTGTAATATACTTTACAATCTAATCTATATATCTCTATCTATCTCTATATCTCCAATATAATTTCTCATAACCAGTATCTTACCCTATTACTAATGTTATATCCAGTAATTATATTAACTCTTAAATTACTTTAATAACACATTGCATACTTCAGTCATAGTTTTACTAATTTGTTTAAGATTGTAAACCATTTTATTTAAAATTATCTGAATTTTGTGTTAGCTCAATACTTGCCCATAGATGTAGGCTGCCCTACATCAATACCATAAATACAAAGGTAATACTGTAACACCTAGTATAACTCACCCTAGAACCACACCAAAGATGCCCAACTCTGACACCGCCTCGATCAACTTCACTGGTTCATGTGCTCGAACGAGGTAGTTTTGTTGGATGGGAGGGCGGATTCTATCCATGAGGATGTATGCTTCCCTCTCTGGTGAATCTTTTATTTTCTCCAAGACCTGTAACAAGGCAAATTCTGTAAAAACTACCATTCAGTACTAGAGGTAAATCTCAACTAATCACATACTTGACAAGAACAGCATTTCTGACATGAAAGTACTGTACTGAACTGTGCTGTACTAGTTTTCATGCAAGTATCACAGGCTCCCTGACCGATAGAACTAAACATCAATAATATTAAAAATAATGACAGTTTCAATATTTAATTCATATTTTTACTCAAAATGTCACTTACTACTTCTGTCTGTTTAAATTATACTTCTGTCATAATAATTTATTGATAATTAACAATCTTTCTTGCAGACACTGAAAAGTCACACTGTAAAACAAAATTATGTAAAGTATTGTTTTGCAAATTTTATCATATCACTTCTTTATATCACTTTAAACAGAAATCAGGCTTTGAGTACAAATGCGTGCACTTTTCTGAGAAGTACATTTGGTTAACTACCTGTGTCATTATCCTATTTACCTTCTGGTTAGGATCTTGCACTAACTAAGGAGGCGCTACAAGATACCGAATCTAACCCAGAATTCAGCCAGAAAGTACTTTCATACACTACTCAAAGCCTTGCCAAGCACTACTTAACATCACAAATGTCACTAAGCAGAGCCCTCACTAGTTATCGATTGGTTCACTTCAACATTACCCCTCACCATCCCCCAGGTGGCAGAACCGACACAACACAATCTTTTTCTTAACGCCCTTCACATTCTTTCCAGTTCTAAAATGCAAAGGGAAAATTACACTAAACACACTGGGGATTGGAAAAGGAGTGAGAAAACATGAGAAATAAAGTGAAAAATGCATTGAATATTTAAATAAAGTTAAATTTCTGTTTTTACTTAACTTATATCAAACATACTTTACCTAGAAAAACTACGAAATGAGTTAGATGCAAAATGTGTAAACTGCACACTTACAGTTTTGATTTCTTCTCCATAGACGTTGTTGCCACCACCCTCTCGTTGTGGCTTCAGAACATATTGATCAGGGTTCTCCATAGCCAATTGAATAGCATGATCTCCTTCTGGGCCCTTTATTGAAGGAGCATACATTAGAAAATTATATTGCTCTTATAAAATAGTAGAATATTGCAGTAAATTAATATAAAACAAAATTTATTCTATTCAGTTGTGTGCGTGTTTCCTTGTTCTCTCTAGGAACTCTTTTCCTTAATATTCTAGCTTAATACAGTAGCATTCTTGTCACAAAATTAAAAATAAAACCTTAATGAATTAAAAAGTTTTTACTATTTAATGGCTGGAAAAATAGAACAAGTGCAAAGAATGCTTGTCAAAAAATGCAAGACAGCCTCATGAATTCAAAGCAAACCAAAACATGCGTGAAAAAATGCAGACAAGAAACTCTTGACAATTTTCTAACCTGGAGATTTTGTTATCTAACCTGGAGGTTATAACAAACCTGGAGATATAACAAACTGAGCATATAAAGAAGGTGGATCAACACCTATCAGTGAGTTAAAGAAATTTGTCTTCGAAAGCATTTGCCTGACTTTCACATGCTAGATTGACTTGCAGGCGGCATGTGCATCTTAATAGATCCAGATAGATGCAGGCAACCTGATCATCTCTGTCCTGCAAGATCCCTGTGCTCTATCATAAATGTTAAATAGATTTGTTACACAGTATGAGGACAGAGGGAAGGAGAGTTGTATGTTTTTTTAGCATATTACAGTGCATTGTGCATCACACCACTACCACCCGTTCATATAATAAAGCACATTATATAAAAAGGTACAATGCATGGTGCAGATATTCCTGTGTTTGGACATTAAGAATATCATGTGGTCAAGATGACTATCTCTTAAGAACTGCAACTCACTAAGTCAAGTGTGTAGAGACCAGCAAATAAGTTGGTAACTTCTGCTGCTTCGGAATCGGAAAGAAACTTCTGCAATACACCTGGTCTAGCTATTTCTTGCTGGACCTGGAAATGTGATAAAAGAAATTCGCAAAATTATCTGTATTGATCAAAATTTATTAAATTTCCCTGCTATCAATAAATTTGCCTTACTGTATATGATTTAGGATTTTCCTATGGTAGTTTCACAACTTGCTTTATTATCTCTAAGTACCGCCTCCTTTTCAAGATATATTTTCAAGAAATAACTATATAATAAATCAATAGACACTATTATACTGAACAGTAAAAAAATTACAGGCATTAACAGTTACATCACTACCATCAAAATATGAGCTGAAAATATTGTTGGCATTGCATGCAAATTGATACATCTTGCTAATGTTACTGCAGTACAGTATTTTAGTAACTTTCCTTTAGATAATAGGTAATTGTCATATGTCAAATGTCTAAACATTTGAAAATTAAAATAATTGTATAGAAATATTTGAATAAAACATGCTAAAATTAGTTTAGACCATATTTTATCTTCTTGCTAACTCCTGTGTGGAACTGGAAATTGAAACTTAAGGATTAACATTACTGCATTATGAGCCTATACAAGGATGAATTATGGGACTTGTGAATTAATGACCTGCATTAGTTAACTAACAAAGGCAATATTCACAAGAATATGACTGTAGATCATTCTCACTCTCGCAGTACCTGGTTAGATTCTCAGGCAGGACGAAATGCTTGGGCATACTGTCGTGCACCCAATGCCTCTATTCACCTCGCAGTAAATAAGTACCTGAGAGTTAGGCAACTGTTTGGGGTTGCATCCTAACAAGTCAGTCCTTAGCCTAGGGGGATCTATTTAAGCCTAACAGGTTTCCAGTCCCTGACAACAAGAAACGAAGAAGCCAGAACCAAAAAACTGAAATATTATGTAAGCAGACAAAATGTTGTCATTGCCAACACTTTGTTTTTATCAATTAGTGAGTTACTAACTACAATCATAATACAGTCAAGAGCTGGACCATTCTTGATGGCCATTTTGTGCACTTCCGGTAGGGTTTCAGCAATGAACAATGATAAGTGGATGGAGTAATTTGTGATGAGGTACTGCAAGTCTTAAATCTTTGATTTTAGAAAGTGTTAAGGCCAATAGATCTTAAATGTGATGCTGCTCCTTACCTTACCCTGAAGGAGGTTCTGAAGTATTACACCTGAATGATCTCTGGATATGTAGACAAAATATAATACATTCCTAGGATAAACTAAAGCTAGCAGGGGTTGTGTAGATAGGACATAATGCCCCAAGTTTTGCAAGTATCATTTGTTTTGTTGTCACTAGTAGTGCTGAGTTACAAGTATCATTTGGTCATTTGGTCCATTGGCAATTTAAACACCCTTCTTTCTTTCAACCTTTGAGGAGGGTATGTTTACTTTTGAATGACGTAAAAGCAGCTTTCTCTTTCAGATCTTAAGGAAAGACATGTAATCAACTGAGGATGTTGTATGGAAGACGACTGGTTACCTGGTAATGCTGTATAGCATGCCAACTAGGACTGTTTCACATTATATGTCATAACGACACAAACACTTCTGTTTCTGCATCTATACAGATTATCAACAATAGAATGTTTACAATTTAAGGTTGAGTACAATGTGGCATACTTTGGAATGTGCATCTTTACACCAATCATTAAACAACTCACTTTAGGATCCAGGTAATACACATACATTACTGTATATCTTTGATTGTAAAAACTGCAGATAAAATTTCACCATACCTTTTTAGTACCTGCTAAATGATACTGTATGCTAGGACACTTAATTGCTCGTGATCTTTCTATGGTAAGACGAGCCTCCCATTCCGCTTCACTGTGGTAGTGGCCAGGCTCATAACCAGCACGGAAATATACCACAGCAATCTCATCGTCATCTCTGTTAAAGATACCACGATGAATACACATGAAAAGAAAGTGGAAACATTATGTTAATTGTTTAATATCAATACATAAGTAGATAAACAAAATTAGCTATTTTATGAATCTGTCTACAGATTTTATTTATTGTGAACAAGGAAAACAGGAATAATTATGGTGGTATGCAGGGAATGGAAAAGTGCTACAATTGGTTGATCAGTCAAAATACCTGGGATGTGCAACACCGAGAGTACTGTAAAGCAATAGAGCAAGTTAGGGACGGACAGTTCCTCACAGAAGGAAAGCTCTTAGCTAAGAAAAATAAGAGAAGAAGTGATGGTTGTAGAGAGTGTGCGCTGATGACAATGCACGAATTGTATTGCCTATGGATGAAAAAAATACTGGCAAGGAACATGCATGAAAATCATAAATAAAAGCATACAGTGCTAAAACTAATAGTTTTACAACAATATTTTTTTAATTTTTTAAAATCCACTAAAACATGAATGAAAAGTTAAATTTAATAGAATATATACTCAAGATTTGCAACCTACATTATAAGCCTCTTGTCATCAGTCAGGTGCCCTCTTTCACTGATCTGTGTGAGGTTTTTTCGAACGACATGAACATCTGGTCTCTGGCGTCTTATTTCATACTCATGGAATCGTTGATCACAGATATTGTAAGTAACATCTTCTATAACAAACAGTATTACAGCTCTGGAAAACAAAAGAATTAGACTTATCAAGTAGATAATAATAATAATAATAAAAATAATAATACTGTAATACAATAATAATACACAGAAAGAAATCGCACTAACGTGAGGTATCACTGAGAAAGTCCGTAGGAGCCATAATGAAGATTCGAATCTGTGCATTGGGTATTCCCAGGCACACGCCCCAGACAACTAGGCCACGACATAGTAAAAGGATTCAGCAGAACCCAAGGTTGCAATCCTTTTACCATGTCATGACCTAGTTGTCTGGAGCGTGTGCCTGGAAATACCCAGCAGATAGATTCGAATCCTCATCACGGCTCCTACACATTTTCTCAATAATAATAATAATACTCTAATAATATTATGAAGGAATAATTTTTGCTTTTGTAGTAACTTTTGCACTATACAATCCATTTTCCATCAGCTTCACTTTCAGTAATTGTGCTGCTAACTGGACACCTACCACCTCGATCATCTACCAACTACATTAATTCACAGTGTCCACACTGCTGGCCATGGGTGTTGACTTTGCAGTTCTTCGTAACTTGTACCACTGACAATAGATTCACTATTATTGTAAACCTGTGTAATCCTTGTTGTTTAGTCTCTCCAAAGATACCACTTCAGTGATCAGTGAGAAGTATCAGCTAAGGGATATTAAATACCTAGGTTTAACAACATCAAAGATATATTGTCAATAATGGTACAAGCTAGGAAGGACACCAGTGCCAACCTTCTGTGGACAGCAATGGAGATATTGTGAGCTGATTTGATCAAACAAACATTTGAGGCAGCAGGTGTCCCACAGAAGATTGGGGTGTTGATAGCATTTTCACTAGAAGTGGATCCAGTGGCAAGGTAGTCATTTCAATTTATATAGTTAAGCCTCGACATTCCATAGTTCATCTGAATACAACTACCTCTGAATACTGATACGGTTCAGCTGACTACACTTAACCATTTAACAATGAAATAATCCATGTTCTAAATTCACAATACAAAAACCAGAAAGAATTTAAATGTCTTGTGAATCTAATTATCATGAAAAAATTCCTATTCTGTCTGATCTATGACAAAAACACTACATGACTATTCACTGAAATCCTGCACTCATTTTTCTTCTACTTACCCTAAACAGAGCCATCTAAATAGTCATATTCAATTAGCACATTCTCCTCATAATTACCTACCTTACCTTACACATTCTATTTTAGGCAATTTTATACACTAATAACTTAACCCATTTGAACACCTCTGCTAAAATCCTCGACTTGCCAAATTTGTTTTATTTTATCTTTCTATAAGCAGTCCTCATTAGGTATATAGTACTTACTTTGGGCAATTGTAAGCTTCCCATGCAGATATCATTCCACCACAGAGCCCTGCAAGCGCATCATTTTCTGGCAACTAGAAAAGATCATGTGCTCGTTAACGTTAATTGGCTCAGTGTATCAAGGAAACTTTATAGGGGCCGTGTATCATAACCAATTCAACTAATTAGTGTATATGGGATTAGAAATTATAATGAGAAAATTATAGAATGAGAAATTACTGTATAACTATCTCCAATACATAATCTGTATGCAGAAGAATACTCAAAAATCACAATTGCGTGATGCATCAAATGAACAAATCCACAAGGGCCGTGACGAGGATTCGAACCTGCGTCCGAGAGCATCCTAGACGCTCTCCGGGATGCTCTCTGGGTCAAGCCCAGACGCTTGATCATGTTGTAGCTCAGTCAATTAAGGCAGCGTCTGGGATGCTCTTGGACACAGGTTCGAATCCTCGTCAAGGCCCTTGTGGATTTGTTCAGAAGAATACTGTATGCAGGTACTGAAAAATACATGCTTACTGATCAACAATCAAGACAAAATTACTTATAATCTAAAGCACAGTATTTCTTGCCAAACTGTTTTATTCACCGTAAAAAAATATTAAATTTATTTTTGAATGTTAAGTGGAAAAACATATCAAGCAACTTACATGATGGAGCAGATCTGGTCTTCGTAGTTCTCCAAGGACATACCTAAAGTACGTAAAAGACTTTTTCAAATTTAAACTCGCAAAGCAACTCGTGCTCGTGAATTTTTTTTAGCAATCGGGTCTAAAGTACCAACCAACATGACATGATGGTCCAGTAGATAGTATTTTGTACTATTAATTTTAAAGTTTGGGAAAAAATTAAGCTAAAAAACTTAAATATTCCTAGGCTTAGTATAGCTCATTTTTGTATCATATTAGGGCTAAGATAGCATGTATTGGGCCTAGGATTGCTAGGAGAGATTAGGTTAGGTCTAATTTATTTTGCTGATAAAATTTCTGGATTGTCCAAATCCAACTAAACAAAATTATACCATCTGCTGGTCCATCATATCATATTAGTACTTTGACCAAATAGTTACTATAAGTATTTTCATTTTAGGAGGATGGGCTGCACAAAGTGGGTAGATAATTCATTAATGATTTCAAACTTTTCTTGGTACATTCATAAGTTAAAGTAACACTGAAATTATGTGCAAAAAAGTTCTTCAAACAATGATCAAGTAGGTAAATCAGTATTGTATAATTAATGACTTCAAAATACCATATTGTATACAAAATTCTCCTGAATCATTATATCCACTATTATATGCTGTATATGTGATCTCAAACACTCAAATATTTTCCCCCACATGTCTTTAGTATGCACCACATGCATTTCTGCCACAATACACATGCAAGAAGATATGCAGAAATCAATGTAATAAAGCAGTAGCAGGTTAGTGAACAGTGTGCAAAATGTCAAAGCTCAGAAAAGCATAACAAAAATAATGGTGGGTGTGCTGGATCATGTGTTAGTGGAAAAAGTTATTACAATTAAATAATTAAACAAAATATATGGTTGGATACCAATGAAGAATGGCAACATGTGAGAAGTATGCCCAATTGTCACTGTCAATATTACCCCCCACTCATGCAGCCAGGAAGCAAAAGCCCAGATCAAAACAGGAGAGCAGTACAGTATAAGATAAATCTTTTAATATTACTAAATAACATGTACATTCATCATATTTTACACATAACAGTGCTGCACTGTTTACAGCACCAGGCAAATAGCACCATTACGTGCCAGTGAATCACAACAGAATCCCACATCTACGTAGTAGATACACAGTGCACCTCGAGAGTTGTCATATGAAAACGACACCAACACCCCATCTGCGCACACTATTGCCCACTATCTCTGTTCTCGGTTATATCCACATGCTTCCCCACATACTTGTTCATTACAGGTACAATATGTCTGCCAATCATCTTTGCCTTAATCCAAAGATGGATTAAGGCAAAGAGATGGATTAATCTCTTTGCCTTAAAATTTCCTCTCTACACTATTCTCTCATTATTCCTTGGTTCATCATGATCAAATCCTCAATTTTGTGATTTACTAATATATGCACTACAGTTTTCTTTGACATTTTGACATTATTCTATCTCTTCTCCTAAAACCACACCCTCTTTTCAGATTGTCAATTTCATCTGTTCTAACTCTTAATTTTCACATTTATGCCACATCAGTCTTGCACTCACATGTATGGAAAGCACAACTACTCCTTCATGCATCCCTCTTGCTGCACCTCTTCTAATCTTGTTCTCTCATTGCACCAGTCACACTCTTTCCAGCTACTCTCAACTTTTTTTGCACAAATTTTTAATTTGTCAATCACACATGCAAAGTATTAAAACTGATTGAGAACTTCTAACACTTTTTTATTAAAAAACAGGCGATTGATTACCAAGTACAATACTGTACACTACTGGAGACACACACGGTGGCCAAAGACAGCTTTTCCATATAAAGGTTAATAGGATAAGAGGGCATGGGTGGAGTTAATAAATTCATGTGAGCTAAATAAACTTAAGAAAATACTTATATGCAATGTGGGTGACTAATAAATGGAATGCACTGAAAGAGGTTGTGAAAGCCAACTCTATTTAAAGTTTCAAGAGCAAATATGACAACTAAAAAAAAAAAGAGAGAGATTTAAAAGTTCTTTTGGGTAAAAGGCAGGATCCAATAACTAGGCAGTGGTGATGATGGAACCAAATTTCACTCTTAGCAGACATTATGTGATACTAATTGCTGGTACAGAATCCCCAACTCTATCCACCCCCTCAAATTTACTTTTTCCACATTCACTTTTAATAATATTCACATCACCAAAACTTTCTACTACTGTATTCTATATAAATATACATTATTTTATTAGAAGAAGTACACCATACAATCCCCCCATATACCCTTCTCTTATTATATTATCATTTAATTTAGGTAAGGTACTGGAACTAGTTTACCCTAGAAAAATGATTTGTGAATAGTTTAACTAAGAGGCATGCAATTATTGCTGGATACACTGGGGTGAACAGTGGAAGAACGGTATTCAATCATCCCACTGTTCTGTGTCTGAAGTCAGGTTAATGTTCTCCTTTGCAAGGCAAGTGGGTGACAGCATTAACCGTTATGTGCTGCTAATTTTCTTAACTTGACCTCACTCATGACTCCAATCCATTTATATATATAACATATATTTAAATAGATAAAGAATGAAACAAACAAAAAGATATTACTAAAGAACAAATAATAATCCATAGCTATAAGAGAGAGAATGTCTGTCTTGCGAGGCTAGAGACCAGATAGTTTCAGTTAGCGTCATGCAACTTTGCATGGTGAATTGCAACTGTATGGCAAGTGCAATAGGATGGTTGGGGGATCGATGCCCATGCATGTCTTTAAGTAGGATTGGCTCCCTTTGCAACAACCAATAACTCCTATGAAGTTTGAAATATGGGTTTGATTGTCCAAAGAGTGATTTCCAACTTATTGTTCGACTGTTATCATGTTGAATATACAGTATCTTGAATCAATGTCGATAACATTGATTCAATATTGACTCAACATCAATAATTTTGATTCAATGTTACTCAAGCATGTTTTGCCCACCGGGAGAGAGAATGGGAGGGATTAATGGTGAGAGAACAAAGAGAGGGAGCAAAAAATGGGAGAATAAGAGGGAGAGAGGGAAGGAGGGAGAGACAGTGGAAGAAAGGGAGGGAGAGTGGAAGGAAGGATGGAGAGTGGAAGGAAGAATTGAGATTGGAAGGGAGGGAGAGTGGGAGGAAGGATGGAGATAGGAAGGGAGGGAGAGTGGGAGGAAGGATGGAGATTGGAAGGGAGGGAGAGTGGGAGGAAGGATGGAGATAGGAAGGGAGGGAGAGTGGGAGGAAGGATGGAGATTGGAAGGGAGGGAGAGTGGGAGGAAGGATGGAGATTGGAAGGGAGGGAGAGTGGGAGGAAGGATGGAGATTGGAAGGGAGGGAGAGTGGGAGGAAGGATGGAGATTGGAAGGGAGGGAGAGTGGGAGGAAGGATGGAGATAGGAAGGGAGGGAGAGTGGGAGGAAGGATGGAGATAGGAAGGGAGGGAGAGTGAGAGGAACGACGGAGATTGGAAGGGAGGGAGAGTGAAGGGGAGGGTAGGAAGGAGAATGGGAGGGAGGGAGAGAGAGAGAGAGAAATGAACAGAGACCCAGGGATCTGCCTGGGTAATACCAAGTCATTCAATACCTCATTTACATTTGTGTGGAAAAAGAATGTTCTGCATTTATTTAACAGTTGGAAAACAACATGCTGAAACCTACAACCCATCTTTCTAATATATATACACCACTGAATGATGATGTACATTACATTTAAATAAAATAATATTCAATCTTATCCTAATGACAATATAGACTTAATGCCTATTTTTGTATGAACATTACAAATTTGGTGCTATGGTCAAGTTTGATTATGTTAGTTTTCATTGTGTACAAAAATTAACTATACATGTGCATTTTTTATAATAAACACAGGGAACACAATATCATTAATACAATATCATGATGTATGTACAGTACTCTGCATTCTTTGCATGACATGCAGTACGGCTGAAGTCAGGCACAGTTTTTGGGTACTGCTCTTTTAATTTTGTCAACATTTGATGGCAAAGTGAGCACTGTCTAAGGAAGATTCTGCTTGTCATACTGCCTTGAATTGCAACATGATGAATGAAAGATATATATATACTAGAGGCTATCAAAATTAATGGAATGGTTGAACAATTATATGGTAGAAAATGAGCAACAATAATGTAGCTGACAATAAATAACCCAACCCACACATGTGAAAAGAAAGGATAGTGATGACATTTGAGCCCATCCTGGACCCTTATCAAGTTGCCGTGTGGGTTGAGTTATTTAACTACATGGTATTTATTAATTTATTAAAGTAAGTAATTATCAAAAGAAGGCACCAAGCCCGGAAGACTATGTAGCACCATCAAATGTGCGGGATATTCATAGGGCACTAAATATCACTAAGGATGCCAATACGAGAACAAAAGCGCACAAGGCGAACGATATCAAAAGGTATCCGATTCACAAAGAATTCTATCGAGGGACAAGTGACAGTGAGAGTCACCTACAACAACAAAGGAGAATTGAAAGCAAGAAAGTAGTTGACGAAGAGCATACAAAATAGCATAAAGTTCTGCCGTGAAGATTTCTGAAGACAGAAATGGAGCGGGAGTGTGAAGAAAAGTGTTCAAGGAAATTACGTTTCAGAACTGTAGGAGGGTAAAAGCTTTAGTCACATGGGTGAAAGTTTTACAAAACTTAGGAAGGGGAGACCCTCCACGGGGGCAAGGACAGAATGACACGAGGAAAAATATTAGTAATGCGAACCAAAAGAGAATCTTGTAAGAGACAAAACCATACAGAATGAGGAAAGTGGTGAAAGGGAACAGGGACCACAGGAGATGTAAAGGTCAAAGTACGACATAGGCGAGCAATACGTTTGCAATACGTTCAGCATATAAATGAACGGGTAATAATTTCATCCATGAATAAGCCCCCATATCCAATATGGAGCCACAATTAGAGGATACGACACCCGCCAGGACAGGACCCCTCAGGGGTACATCATGGGTATACACCCTGCAATTGCCACCTTA